TCTTCCTCTCCGAACGGAACATTAGTACTTCCGAAGTGCCATCCAGCTGACTGTTTTTCAACTAGAGCAGGATGTGGTCTTTATAGATGAGCAAGCTCACATATGGCACGTAAAAACAGACTAACTTCCATTCCTCATTCTCATAGTTACATGACTTTCAATGTTTATGAGAGAACAGTCAACATTCATTCTGACATTTTTCAACCTCTCTTTACTTCTTAGAATTAAACAGGCTGTTTTGTCAATGTGCCTTTAAGACTGATACATGTAAATGATCAGTCCAGACTGAAACACTCCTTACAACTTCCATGAGAATGGGCGGGGCTAAAACATCTGTATGAGAGGATGTATATGGAGCATTTTACCAAATTAGTTCAAACTGTAGTCCTACAATAAAAAAAAACACAAAGAATTCAGATAATAAAGAACTGTCATTACCAAAACAGTTATTTTCTGCAATTAAGTAAACTTTTTTGTATTTAAATGAAAAATAGAATGTGTTTTTTGTGTGTACAGCTGTTCAAAGCTGTGTTTGCCAGTCATGCACTGGCTAGCATTCTTGAGTCATGCCCAAATTGCTTAGATTGTCACTACCGAAACAATCACTACTAAAACATTTGATAAAGTTTCAGTAGTGTTATGAATTTTTTTGATTGTGACAAAATGGAAAGTTCAGTCATTGAGTTTAATAAATTAAACATAATTAAGGTACAGGGTCTCTCAAAGCAAAATGGTTTTAGTCTAAAGTCTAAGTCAATTAAACGTCTAAAATGGTTTATGAACTCTGACTTTAAACCTGATTGAAAGAATGATCCATTAAAATGTAGTGGTTTTCATGATATCATAAAAAACCAATGAACTAAAAAAGAGTAGGTTTTGGCAGCTTAGTTTCCATATGATACTGTACAAAAGTCAGACAATTCTTCATTAATTGAATTTCCTGTCAAAACAACCTTTATGTACAAGTTATTCTTTCTCAAGAGATATTTCTGAGGAGATTAGATATAAGATAATGTGTAAAGCATAAGGAAGGTGAAAGTCTAATGAAAATAAATTTAAATATTTAGAAACTATAAAACATATAGAGAAATTGGGACTCTCGATAACTGTGCAAGACCTGGTAGACCACCAAAACTGTCAGATAATCAGTACATTCACAGGTGTTTCTGTCCATCCTTCCACTGTGAGAACTCAACGCTATGAGTCTGAAAGGATGTGTAGCTGTCAAGAAGCCCTTACTTTAAAAAAACTATAGGGACACACTACATCTTTAAAAAATGGCATTTTATTTAGTTAATTGATTCTGTTAAATACGTGTTTTCCTGATCATGAAAAATAAATAACTTGTACTTAATGGTTGTTTCGACAAGAAATCAAATAAATGAAACTACCATACACAGTACTATATATGGACTATGGAAGTTAATGCTATGTTTTGAAGCTTTGACAATATTTAACAGCTTTTAATGTCTGAAAAAAGGCTAGTTTAAGGAACGATATAAAGCATATAAAGCAATAAATTACAGACAGTCAGACTAAGTATGAGTGGGTTGCACACGCTTTCAAGAATCACCACCAACACGCTTATTCGCAGACAAAGCTTCGGTTCATTATGTCATCACACTCAATGGACGAGTTGTCAATTAAGCTCAATCAGGCACGAATGTCTTTCTGCAGCCGCTGTTGTAAATCAATCAGCACTGGGAAGGTTATCCAATTAGCAACTCACTCACACAATGTAATAAAGTGAAAGGGTATAATTGGACATTGTCCAGGCTGTGGATATATCACCTTTGGCATCAGAGCAGTTTGACATTGGTGGCCTCAGTGAAGGTCTGGATCCATTTGGCTGAGATGCAGTTGGTGGAGGCAGCTTGTGAAATCAGAGCGGGAGGAGACTCCCACTTCCTCTCATGTGTCCTGCACTTTGTAGAATGTGTAATATGACACAAGACCCCCTCCTCTGAACCATTCCCATCAGCTTCTTCTTATTAAACCTCTTCTTTATTTCAGTTCTGTGCTTCTCATCTATGTTGTACAGTTTTGAGAGAAGTGGAGAGAGGAAAAAATAATGGGGTGAAAGAGAGGAAAAGAGAGTGGTCCATCTTTTCCACTTTTCTGTTTCAGTCAATATTGTTCCCTCCATATTTTTCACAGAGTCCTGATGAAAGGAAGGTCTGAACACATCCTCCAAATAGCTTTCAAAGTGCTGCCCCTCCTTACTGTCTCCATTAAGAGGTTAGCGGGGTCAGTAGGGCCGAAGAGCTCTAGGGACCAGCCCATTGATTTCACTGTAGATGAGGCTGGGGCAAGAGGTTTGCTATTTAGACAGCATGGATAACCAATAAAACATATTAATGCAAGAGCATACAAACAAATGTTCTTACTTGAAGCATTTATGTGAGGTAAATGTGCAATAATATGAACATATTAGAAAATTAGGGCAAGATGAGGATAGATAAATATGTACACTATTAAATCTCAAGAGTGATAGATAGAAGGATAGATAAGAACACCAGCAGCTTCTTTGTATGTATGAATTCCAGTTTTGGAAAACTTTTTTTTTCACTTATTTTCCTTTGATTTTCCTCTTCTTTATGTAAGTGGATTATCTTATATCTAATTGTCTCTGACACAGCTCCTGAAACATAACAATAATGGCTGTTTTGACTGGAAATTTAATAAATGAAGGTTGGTTTCTGACTATTCCACAGTACAGTAGTGTGGACAGACAGACAGACAGACAGACAGACAGATAGATAGATAGATAGATAGATAGATAGATAGATAGATAGATAGATAGATAGATAGATAGAGATGAAAATTAGAAGCAGACACTGGTATAAAATTTTGTCAATGTTTTATATAAAAAGGATATATAGAGCATTTCATTTTGACATCAACAAACCTCTCCATTTACAGGTAACACAGCAAAAGAATCACACTTTTTAACTTTACTTCGAGGCACAAAACAGGAATATGGTACCTTAACGTCATGGCTAATAACTGTCATTTTTGTGCATGTTTGAATACCTTTACAAATGACCCTTTCCGCCACTGAATATTGCAACAGTAGTGGGAGTGCAAGAACAGACTATAGGGGGGGGAGGGAGAGGAAAGGGCAGGTTTCAAGCCACTGACAGAACACAGACCAGAAACATGAGGGAAGTCAAAAAAGGGGGCTTTTTGAAGGGGAGGGGGCATAAAATATATCTCACAACAACATACTCTCAAAAAAAGCAACCACTGGCAACCATACAGGACAACTACAGAGGTGCGGCCACCCGCAGAAGCAAGAACCGTGGTGAGAGCTTCACACAGGAACTGGGTGCAGGTGGCACTTAAGAATCATTCTCTTCTGGTGAGTGGGCCCAGTACAAACGCTCTTTACATCAAAGAGATTTGCACTGGACTCTTGCTAAATCTATTTATATATATTTTTATACATATTTTTAACAAGAAGTCTATATTTGATCTTCTTCTTCTGTTTTTTTTTTTAATTGTCATCACAAAAACACAACGTGAACCAAAAGTTACTACAGTTAAATGTGCTTATGTGTTACATACATATATATATTTTTTGTTTGTATTGGTTGAACTGACGGCCGTTACCATGGATTTATTGCTTTGTACATTGAATATGGTCAGCGCCTGCTGTGGCTGTAGGAGCCCTTAAAGCAGGTAGCTCAGTGTTTTCCTCACAGGATCCCCCCTATCCCGACGCCGGACCCTGCTAAGACCCAACTCTACACATTACCTTTGGTTAACTGTGCAAAGAAACTGATACAACAGTAACTAAAGGGGAATATTGAAACAATCCTATCTCAAAACAAAAGCTCTGATCCATGCATAACTAACATTCATGGACGTCAAGATGGCGTGGTGTTAACTTCTGAAAACAGAAGGAACAGAAGAATTGGGTCTTTCTGACACCCTGTGCTTTTTTAATTTATTTCATTTTTTGGTTTACTCATTCTCTTCCAATGCTAGTCATTGCCAATTCCCATCCACTGTCTCGAGGTGTTTTTTCAATATGATTATTGTGTTATTCTTTATATCATCTTCCACCACACAAGCTCATTTCCAGTTCATGAGAAAGCTCTTAAGAGTGTTCTTGATCTGACCAGAAAGGCTATGTTCACATTACTTGATGTGGCACAAATCAGAGCTGTGTGGACAGACAAATCTGATCTTTTCAAATCAGATTTCAGTTCATTTATGTGTTTTTAATCCACCGCGCCTGCACCATTATTCAGTGTTCATGTGGCAGTGGTAGCTAACTTGAAGTGAGTGCCAGTAAACATGATCATGATAGATACAGGTCACTTATCCACATGAATGCAAACCATCAAGTTCCATCAAGAAAGATCAGATCTGACTTCAGGTTAGCCACTGCTGTCATATTAACATTGAATGATGGTGGAATAAAAACACATGAATTCCAAACTGACCATTCTCATTAAGGTCAAATGGCCACGTGATCTAGGACCACATATGAAGGTGGCTCAGATCTGATTTGAAAATATCATCTTTGTGTGTCCAGCTCCTGCGATGGACCGGCAACCTGTCCAGGGTGTATCCTGCCTTCCGCCCAATGACAGCTGGGATAGGCTCCAGCACCCCACCGTGACCCAGAAGGATAAGCGGTTTAGATGATGTGTGTGTGTGTGTGTGTGTGTGTGTGTGTGTGTGTGTGTGTGTGTGTGTGTGTGTGTGTCCAGCTCTGAAAACGTCAGAAATGTGTCAGTTTAAGGTGGAATATGGTCAAATTGCTGGGAATCAAACCAGACATCAGACACAATGTTATTAGCCAAACGTTCCACTTAGGCTACATTCATGTTATCAAGTCAAATTAGCACAGATCCATATTTTCAGAGCTGGACACAAAGAGATCTTTTCATATCAGATCTGAGCCACTTTCATATGTGGTCTTAGATCACATGTTCATTTGACCTTAAGGAGAACGGTGACATTGGAATCCATGTGTTTTTATTCCACCATCATTCAATGTTAAGGATGCAGCAGTGGCTAACCTAAAGTCATTGTCAGTAACCACTACAAAAGCAATGCATCTGACCCTTTTTCGCCCTCATTTTGCTCTAATAAGAGCTGTTCAGAGCAAAATGTCTTTACAATGAAAGCTTGTTGTGCTGGTTAGGTTGTTTGTTGTTCATTATGAATGTGGTTTATTCATGTGACAGTATTGATTGGTATGTGTTCATTCAAGTCATTTCAGGACACAGTTTAATTCACAATGACAGATCTGAGTCACTTACACGAATATGAGTTAGAAAGCAAATCTGAGCAAAAATTTCAACAATAAAGCTTGTATGTGAACATAGCCTTAGAATATTTTTTGTCTTTTTTCTGACTAGTAATCTCATCTTTTCTTGATACACCTCAATTTTATGCTGAAAATTTGAGCTTATGAGTTAGCTTGGCTGTAGATCTTCCACTCTTAGCCTTAAAACCTTACAATTCCACAGCCATTAGCTACAAAGCTAAAGGTCTATGGTAAACACAACATTACTATTGTTTATTTTCTATAGAAATATCATTGTGCTCCTAAAAGTGGCATCAAAGACCCAAATCCCCTTTAGTCTCACAGAAACATTACATCTACGATGAATGAGTAACACATCATGGAATAGAAACAGACATAGTTTTGTGCATTTACACAGAGATCTCGCAGTGCGATGCGAAAAGAAATGGAGAAAAATGGTGTCCTTGTTCAGGTTTACAGGGTTCTCTATGGCTGGTGTTGGCTCTATATGGATTTGTTATTTGAGCCTTCATGAGGCCATGGTAGTTCTGCACACCAGCAGCTAAACTTTTTAATAGAATGATGAGGTGAAAATATCAGCTTCACAATATTACACATGATTGCACTTGAAATAAGTTCACTCTTGTTCTTTTTTAACATAGACAATTTACAAATACAATCTGCCAATTTGATATGTATTACATCTCTCTGTAGTATTAGGTATTCTCTCTCTCTATATATATATTGTTTAATATTTATCTATTAGAATTTCAATATAGCTTGAATTATTTTTAATTATTTTCCTTTGTGCAAACATATGACAATGTGTATTTTTTTCTTTGTACAACTTTATAAGCAGTTTTGCACTCTTTTTATTAGAACTCACAACCACTACAAAATAAGTCTACAGTGTTGATGTGTGCATGTGTTTGCAATCATGTATGTTGTATGTGTGTGTGTGGTCTACGAGTAATCCCCACCCTGCCTGTATCCATACCCTCCCTCCTCTGCTCCCTCTTGTACATATTCTTCTCGTTTCTCCCATCCATCAGGCCACCCTCCATTCATCTGTGTGGTGGCCCCATATGTCTTGGCCGGACCGCCCAGGGCCCCGTAGCTCTGGGTGATGTCCCCGGTCTCCTCAGCCAGCTCATCTTCATCGATGAAGCCACACTTCTCTTCACTGGTTAGCTCTGGGTCGGCCCACGGCTGTTTCTCTCCCGAAGCGAAGATGCCGTAGAAGATCACGCCACCGTAATGCACCAGAGAGGCGATGAGGAACACGTACTGCCATTCTTCTCTGGTCTGGAGAGAAGAGGATCATTGACAATGAACGAAGAAGAAGAGATTTTAGTAGCTCATCAACAGGCTCAAATTTGACAAATTGTTCTTTGGACTGATGGCACAGAAGAACCACTTTTGGTTCTTATGAAAAATCTTTCAATGGGTGGTTCTGCAAGTATGTGTGAGTGTAAAGTATTTTTTTGAACATAAAAAAAGCTGAAGTTTCTACACCATTTATAGGTTTTTCTAGAACTGTATGTCCCAGCCAAAAAACATTTAGGAACCTTTATTTTTAAGATTAAGTCCAAAGCAAGGCCAAATCAACATACTAGTTCATATGATAATAAAGATTTACAGATTTATCAGCATCAGTAGAAATTATGCAGATAAAGCACCAATAGACAACTGAAGTCATGCATCATTTTGTAGTTGGTGACATGTCTAAATATGAAACTATGGGTCTGAGCTGGTTTTCACTAAAAAATATATGCCATTTTTCAAAATCGATGCTGTTGCACTCTGTGGGAAACAAAATTGTTCCAAAGCTGATGTTTTTTGTCTGCCAAATATCACTTGATTCATTAAATGATGTGGTTGCTTAATAGTCAAAATACAAATATTGCTTCATGCAAGCTAACTCTACAGCACATTGAAAAGACTTTGCATGAAAATACACCTACTAAGCTTCAAGATTATCATCTTACAATACCAGCTACTCAAACTGTAGGCTACCATTCTGCCAAAGCAACTTATGTGTCATATTTGACGAAGCTTGCTGTTTTGTGTGGGGTATTTTGGTGAGGTTGCCAGTTTTAGCCACATATCCCATCAAGAGAGCAATTATTTCCATATATTCTGTTGAGACAAGTGGGATAATGCTACACTTTTCACACAATCAACACAAAAGTTTGTTTAATTTTTCACCACATACAATTAGATTGGATGATATTATTGGTTATCAGAGTCCTTATCTTTAACATTGATATTGGTGTCAGTAATCAAACACTCATAGATCGATGTATATGCTCAAAATATATACAATTCTGTTTCCATCTTGAACAAATCACAAGCAGATTAAAATGTACTGCAAGGTCTTCTACAGCCGAAAGTTGTGCTTGCCATTCGACTCCGACATCACAAATTTTAATGAGGATGTAACGTCAAAATGACAAGACATTCAAAGACACAACAGCACCATCAGTGTCACAACAAAGAAAAATCATGATCATGAATCTGCCACAATGACATTCAGGACGTAGAACAAGTAAGTTTTGATAGGTTTTTAAAAGGCAGTGTACAGCATGTAAGTCAAAACAGTTCAAACAAATCATCGCAGACGTTGGACTGAAAATCAAAAGCTACATTCCTACCTTGTTTTTGGTCATAGCACCCACAATCAGAGGACACACCATGCCTGATAGGGTTCCTACTCCATTTGAGATGCCCATGAGAATACTGGCATAACGTGGAGCGATGTCCAAGTGATTGACATTGAAACCTAGAGAGAGGATAGCCCAGGCATTTTCATTCAGCTCAGTCAATTGTAACATTCAAAACTGGAGCCATCATAAATGTTTTACTGATGGCCAAATTCAGTTTTTAAAAAAAGGGTTGTAAATGTTCTTGGCTTGGATGTATAGCTCTATGAAAAACCTTCAGTTGGTATGCAGCTTTATATAATGTGGGGGTTCTTTAAAGGGAAAATGTTACCATTCATACCATCTGTTGTGAACATATTTACACGCCTCCTACAGCAGTGTCATAGTATTCTCTAGAGTTACAAGTTCTGGTTTAAAGACTCGGAAAACACCCTTTTGATAATATGTCTTAATGGTGGGAGGAACGAAGAAATGTAGATAACAAATGTTACTGTGGGGAATCTTTTGCAGCCATATAACTGTAGTAATGGTCTTCAAATCATTATGACAATGGACAGCAATGGAATTCGTAACATAAATTTAGTGAATGACTGAAATGACTCATCATATGAAGAAGACAACAAGCTAAAAACTAAAGTTAGCAAGGTAGCTGGCTGTCTAGATAGGTTCTTTTCTTTGGCTGAAAGGTTAAAAACTTGTCTTTGGTGTCCATTTTGTGCTGAATAAAGAAAGAATCACTCTTTTCTTTATGATTTTGTTCAACAACTGAGTCCAGAGTTACATTAATGCTAACTTGGTCGTATTTACTAGAGAACAGTGGCAAGGCTAACAGTCAGGAATGGTTGAGTACAGCAGGGATTCCCAGTGGTTGTGTGATGTATTTACATAATGCATGCTGGGTACTGTAGTGAGAGAACACTGAGAAAGAAAAAAATGAAAACTGAGGTTGAGGGTTTTATTTATAATGCTGTACTACAGAACATTGCATAATATAACAAATAATATATTAAACAAAGGTTTTAGGCCAGAACACCACTTTAAACTCTAATAAAGGTCTTCATACTTTCTCATCTATTCAAAGGCTCTTTGGAGAACCAATAGGAGCTCATCTATGGTATCCTCCAAAGATCCATAAGTGGCACTTCTTAAATTTAAGAACATGAAGAAAGAAGACAGTAAAAGCCCCTTGCTAAAAGAAAATGACTGGCTTATAATTTGGAAACAAATTCCTCTTTCCCCACATGGTAACAGAAATAACCTACAAGTTATTAATGCAGTTTATTTGATAAATCAATATCATAAATGTCAATTTATGTAATTTCTCCAACTGACCGCAAAGAAACCGGACGGATACAGCATAGACAGTCGCAGGTTTTTTGCAGCACATTTCTGTGCATATTGCATTTTTGCCCATTTACTCCAGGGTGTGGATTTTTCAGTATCTCTGACATTCTGCTGGAGAATAAGACTAAAAATAGACCCGATGGCAGCCATCTTGTGGAGCTGAGGAGCTCCCCCACCTCCCGTTCTGTGGGTTGTGTCTGCCTGTGCAGGCAGTAAGGCAGCTCTCGGGGGAGAGGGAGGATGAATTATTTAACTAGAGCAGCAGAAACGCGCTCGTCTCCAGCTGCAGAGAGAGTGCTTTAGAACGCTGGGAGAAAACTGCAAAGAAACCAAGCCTTGTCAAGACGAGCTGTAGCGTTTCAGTCTTTTTGCAGAAATCTGAGCCTTATGCTTTTGCGTAATAGTGTCGGCCAACATCACCAAGATGCTGTAAGATACTGCATATCCATTCCTAAACAAACAAAGAAGCCAAAAAGGTCTGTTTGGGGTGATGCTATGGAAGGACCACTTTTGGTTCCCTAAAGAACAATTCATTGGATAGTTCTATACAGTGAGGAGTATGCAAATGTAAAAGAACTGTTTAAAGAACACTACATCCAAGCAAAGAATGATTTATGAACCTTTGATTTTTGGTTATTCCACATGATAAATGTTGAAATGATGCACCAGCATTATTACCTCCTAAGACTTATTACTCTGTAATAACATGGATTACAGTTCTTATTGCTCTGTAACTACCTACACTACAATGCAAACTATGAACGCAATAGTATTTTTTCTATCAATTATCAAAGTTTGTACCCATCTAGCAGGTCATGGCCACTAGCCACTTCTGCATCAGCTTCAGCATCATATGTGGAAAATCATACTTTCACTATATAGTACATATCATGAAAATAGTGGACCTAAAAGTTGACTTACCTGATATTGCAAAGCCACTGAAGCCCACGGCTAGCACTAAGAATGAGATGGCCATTCCTTTACTGTGAGAGTATCCCACTATTAGCAGCAAAGTAGCCTCCATTCCAAAGCCTGCAATCAAGAGAAATATTCGGTTTTGTTAACAATTTTTTAATCACACACACACACACACACACACACATTATCTAAGCCGCTTATCCATCTGGGTCGTGGAGGGTGCTGCAACATATTCCAGCGGTCATTGGGTAGAAGGCAGGAAACACCCTGGGCAGGTCGCCAGTCCATCAGAGGGAATTTTTTTATCATATTTGATAAAACATAATTATGACATTCGACTTTTATAGCAGTTTCATGACATCAGTAGAACTACTTTCAAAGATAAATCTTTAATTTTCAGCAATTTACACAATGTTAAAACCTGTTTACACAATTGTATGCAAATGACATGCTTTCTTGTTTTTTTAAGTGAAAATAAGTCAACACATCCTCTTCAGGGAACAAAGTTAATTATGGCAATTTTCTGCAAATTTCAGTGCACGATTTCTATCTATTTGCTGCATTTAACACATTGGGGAAAAAAAATAAATAAATAAAACATGACATGTTACAAAATATGTAATTTAACAAGGGGCACCCAAACTTTTGCATACATCTTACTTTAAGCAAGATCATTTTCCATTTTTACTTTATGTACTTTAAGGGAGATATATATGCTGAAAACATGCTATGTGGCATGCATATGTTTGAGCCTGCATGCTCATCCTGTTTCCTATTTGAACAGTCACTGGTGACAAAATACAGCTATATTTATCATATTTTGATGAAGCTGATATGCAAGTTTTAAAACCAAGTTTGTTATATCTAGATTGTTTGTGGGAACATGGCAGCTAATATCACTCATATGCTGATTGCAAGAGATTTGTCACAAAGCACAAAGACAATGTCAGAAAGAATTGCAATACCAACTTGTGAAATGTAAAAAAAACATACATCCAGGTCCACATCTGACTGAACATTACGTATTTGAAGCCTGTGGAGTGTGGTTTGTGCTATAGGTTGTGGTTCTGTCCTTTCTTCAATCAACAGCAAAGATCATTTTAGCACCAAGGACAGCTCAACCCACACAAACGGTCTGGATCTTACATTCAGATATTGAAGTTCTGTGTAGTGTAATGGTATATCTTTGCAGTAAATGTCACCCACCTCCACAATTCATGATCTTCCTGACATTGGTGGTGGACATGAGGTTCTTACTGCGCAGGAAATCTGCTATTTGACCACCAATGGGCACAATGATGGTCATCACCAGATGAGGAAGAGCTGACAGCATGCCAACCTGAAGAGTGAAACACGTGGGTCACTAATATCCTACTGTAAACTGTTCTCCAGGACAAGAGGCATCATTGTAAACCAAGCTTTTACAAAGTTAAAGGAATACTCCAGCACTTTTCAACCTAATCTACAGCTACTGTATCTATACCATATTGTTTACTATTGAGCAACTGCTCATTGGCTCCTATTATAATCAAGTTTTAAGGCAATGGGCAATTTTTACTAAGTATGAGAAAACATATCAAAAATTATTTTCTGTGGTAATCAAACTTATGCTACAGATGCAGCAGATAGAGATTAAAAATGCTGGTATATTCATTTAAGCTTCAGTTTAGACATAGTCTAAAGAATTCTGACTTCTGGAATCTGATCTACTGTATTGGGCAAAAGTCAGAGACCACCCTTCATACATTTAATTTCCATTCAAGATGGCCATCAAGTATAAGCTTTTCATTTGTCACCATTGGGAAAAAGCAGAAAACATATGTTTAACATAAAATTACACAGATTCCACTGCAACTACATATTATATCTTCTTTAGTACTTGGTGCGTCCACCCATGGTCTTCCATTCTTTTTGGAAGAATTGCTTTAAGTTCCTCACAGAAACCTGCAGAAACATCTTTCTGCCTTCCACAATCCAAGTAATTCCAAACATGTTACGGTCTGGACTCTGGGGTGGTCACTCTATTGTTCTGAGAAAACCAGCAGCTTCTTTGTTTGATTTGAGAATGTTCTTCTTTTAGTCTGTTTCCTTTTCGTAATAACAGCTAGACATCCTTTCAGACTCATAGTGTTGAGTTGTCTTCTCACAGTGGAAGGATGGACAGAAACACCTGTGGATTTTTTCAGATCTGAAGTAAGAGTGGTGCTTGATCTTCTCCTCTCTCAAAGATGAAAGTGCTGTTTATCTGAAGGTAGTAGTTTTGGTGGTCTAGGTCTTGCACATTTGTTAGGAGTCCCATTTTCTCTATATATTTTAGTATTTTTTTTAATGTTTACTTATTTTCCTTTTTTTCCCTTTTTTCCCTTTTTTTCCCTTCCTTGTGCAAGTGGATTATGTACGTATAATGGTCATTTTAACTGGTAATTCAATAAATAAAGCATAGCTCTGAGTGCAGTATAGTATATCTACCAACAGAAAATTAACTAAAAAGGGTTTTTTTTTTTAATCTGACCTGCCAAATAACAGAATGACTCCATCAACAAAAATCTCTAAAATTCACTGGACACACTTTTGGGCAGTGTTCTTCTTCTGCTCTCTTTTGGACAAACAACACAAGCTCAATTACAACATTAACTGAGTAGCATAATTCAAAGACAATGTTTACTGTAACTGCAATGCATCACCACCAGCATATCAACAACAGATCAGTGTAATGACATTAATTACTGTACATGCTTTAAGCTTTCACTCTTGGAGATGAAGGAAAAGTAATTAAATGAGATGCAAATGCTGGCTTAGATGACAAAGAACTAATGAATAATTCATTGAACAACCTGACACCTTTGGGGATGTTGAAGGTCACAGCATTGTTAAGTGATTTTGACTGAAAGCAGATGGACAGAACTGGACATTCAAACGGAGCTCAAACCAAATAAAAGCAAATCCAACTTAGGCAAAATCTTTGACTTCATCATATGAATACATCTCTGAGGAACCACAGCTTATAGAAGACAACCAGGCTTACCTTGCTGATCTCAAAGCCAAACACCTCCTCGAAGTATGCCGGCTGGCTGATGAGCAGCAGATAGAAGGTCCAGCTCCTGCAGAAGTTGGCCACGATGATTGCATAGACAGGCATGGAGGTGAAGAACTTTCTCCAGGGCGTCTTGAACTTCTGCAAGGCCCAGACACGGTTGGTGAAAAAGAGGTTAAGCACTACCGCTACCGACCAAAATGAGAATGACATTTAAGCAGGTATAATAATGTTGTGATGTTTGTTGTATAATAGACATCTTGCTCTCGCTGCTAAAATGGAGAACTTTGTTGAGCTCTAGTCAATATTTATGTGCTGGCCCTCAACACCTGCTGCTCTCTGGGAGAAGGTGACATTTAAGTAAAAGCCAGATTTTAAATGACAGCGGTATTTGCTTAGACGAAATGACTACTGCATCTGAAAATTAGATACTTGCTTTGGCATGGTAATTCATACAGAAGGCCATAGCACTAGAAGCTAATGTGTCTGCAGGACACATTATGACTCATCAGTGGGGGTAATTCATTACTGTAAGGTCTTTTTCAAATGTCTAAACTTTGTTAAAGTATGTGTTACTCCACTAAATTTCAAAGTAAATAAGCCTACTTTTTACTCCACTATATTCCACAGTTTGTGTTGATACTCGTTACTCTGAAGTGGGAGAAAGCTAGATGATTCCCCCAATCATACGATGCTACCAGTGCTGGGAGGGTGAAGGTTAGCACATGCTTCCTCCGAGTCATGTGAAACTCCATGGCATAATTTCGAACTAGTTCTTAATGCAGCATCATTGGATAGCTCAGCATGCATGGAGGAGAAAGCTAACTGCCAATTCTGTTATGTCAGCTAAGAGATGTCCACACTAGCTAGCATAGCATTGAGCGATTGAGAAGAGAGAAGGCCATTCTACCCTCCCAGAGAGAACAAAACAAATTATGCTTTCTTTGAATCCCACGGACGGCTGTAGCATCACCAGGGATCAAATTTGTGAAAGGCGGTCTTTGCAATACGCAAAGGTAGGCAGCCACCTAGAGCCCCCCTGAGCCAAGGGCCCCATACAAATTAGATTTACTGCACGTGTTGATGCTAACCTATTCCACATATATGAATACCTTTTAGCTGCGTTTGTAATTGAAGTGATTATTTTCAGTTATTTCAATGCAGGCTCACGACTTGGTTATAACAGACTTTTTCGTGTTGTTATGTGATGACATAACTGCATGAAGACAGACTGGTATGAAAAAGGCAATTAAGTAATAATCTACATGGTAGAGAGGAGGTTCTTTGGTGTGGTTTTCTGGCTGTTGAGAGGGAAATCTAATAAGGTGACACAAGTGTAGCAAAGAAACGCAAAAAGAGGGAGTAAAGCTAGAAGTTTGTCATTATACTCCCAATGCTAACTCTAGCACAGAGCACTGCACAGGCTCAGCAGGCCATACATAATGCTAACATTAATGTTAGTATAGATATCTCCAGTGTTGGGGTACTTAGTGTAAGTAAGTATGAAAGTAATTCATTTAAGTTACTAAGGACACAAATTGTAATAGGATTGCGTTACTGAATATTCTTATAAATAAGTAACCATCACTCATTACTTTGTGTCTATGATACTTCATACCAAATTATCTCACTTATATTAGCAAATACTTTTGCTTGTTTTGAGCATATTTCTTGAAACAAGCAAAATGGTTTGGCAATATAGTGAGATCACATTCCTTAATAAGGAAGATAACTAAAATGTCTAGAGAAAAGTTATAGAATTTTATATGACAGTAATTAGAAATGATAAATTATAAACATTAGCTATTATGACTAGATTTAAGATTAGTTCAATATTCAAGATGGAATTTTTTGTCTAATTTAAAATGTGTATCCAGTCTGTTCCTGTCTTTTGCCTAGAACCCCAGAATCATTAAATCTCCCCCTGGATCTCCCAATAATGGGCCACCATCATATCCTGATGATACTTATCCAACAGAATATGATTTCAGTTTGAAGCAAACCAATCATAGCGCAGCATATCTTTTATTTGGCTAATTTCTTTGACCTATTTTATCTATATATGAGATAGAAAGTGAGCTTTAGCTGTACAGCTACAAATTAAGCATTAAAAGCAGAAAAGTAAGCCTTTTTGTCTGCAGACAGGTCTCCTTCACAGGCACGACTTTTAACATACTAATCACAGTTAGCCACAGTAAGTTTATTTATGATCACTGGGGTATCCCACCATTTTTTCACAATTTCTGCATAAAGAGTAAGAAAAAAATGTACTGGCTCTAATTTTCTTTTCAGTAGTGGGGACAGGAACCAGGGGCCATGTTGTCTTCAGCAGAAATGTAACAGTTTTATTTGCCATTCAAAACAACCAGTACATCTACACATGTCTTCTTAGTTCTCTTAGTATATGTGGGCATATGTGAGGCTTATAATGGCAAAAAGGTCTTTGGGGACTAATTTGCCTCACAACACTCTGCATGTATGTCTCCAGCCTGCATGTGTTTTAAAATATGTTTTAGGGCAAAATCTTATCTCAAAACTATCATAAAACAATGTAACAGACATCAGGTTGAGTGTTCATAATAGCCTTCTGTGAGCGTTAAGAGGCATCAGGGACATCTGGTTCCTATCACCACCATTATGAGCAATCATTGATAAATTGATAAGAATGGCACATTTCACATCAAACCACTCTGAATGACATTTATCTTAACTGAATTTAATTAATTAAAACTAATAAAAACTGATGGAAATCCCTTTAACTTAAGCAGAAACGTACATAGAAGATCTGTACTTTTACTTTAGCAATATGTAACTAAGGATCTCTGTTTTTACTCACACAGGATTTGTGTACTTTATTCACCACTAGCCTATATGCTCATAAATTGAATCATGGTTTAATTTGAGCCAGCAGACCAAGACAAGACTTAAGCTTTGACTACGCAACAGACAAGGAAGGAGTTTAAAGGTTGTGAGGCACAATGCATTATCCTGTCTGAGATGCATCGGAAGCTTTCCTTTCCTTTAGCTAAGCAGAACTCAAAGCCCCTGAGGATCACTGTAAGAGTGAGGAAGACTTGCTCATTACAGTAATTTAAGTATGAGTGAAGGCTCAATGTGAGAGAGAGATATATAGGAGACAGAACTCTCAGGGGAGCAGTGATCAAAACAAGTGGGCTGGAGGATTTGCTCCCTCCTCCTCATCAAAGAGATTGATTTGGAACTTCTAAGACAAAAATCTCTCTGACTCTGTGCCGCTCACAAACTTTTTTGGCTTGGAATCAAAATCAACTGCTCCCGGCGTGAAAAGAATGCTATGCACCAAACTGCTGAAGTGTGTAACAATCTTTAGCTTATAAGGTGGAAAAGTATCATCTTTTTAAAACTAGTCTCATAAAAGCATCTGCTTAAGTAGAATTCATCATCCAAAGTAGAGCTGGGTGATATGAAGAAATGCTATTATCGTGATTATAATGCTACATACTGTGATTGTGACATGTACAAACTGCAATATGTTACAATCAGAGATGTTCACAAACCAACTTGAAATTGTTGGTTTGTCTATAGTTTGTTTAACAAATATGTTAGTTAGTAAGGGTAACGTAATGGAGGTTTAAGTCAGTTTAAAAAGAAGGTGGTTTGTGTTATTTAAAGAATGTGAAATTTACTAAAATTTAAGCGAGATTAGCTGACAACTTAAAAATTAGCTCTTGTACTAGCAAGGTCAGTTAAGGGCAAGTCTGAGTTGAGTCGTGAGTCAGTTAAGGGTGAGTCTGAGTTGAATCGCACGTCGGTCACGGGTAAATCTGAGTCCAGTCATGTATCAGTTACAGGTGAGTCTGAGTTGAGTCATGAGTCAGTTAAGGGCGAGTCTGAGTTGAGTCATAAGTCAGTCAAGGGTGAGTCTGAGTCCAGGTATGAGTCAGCTGATTGCGAGTCTGAGTTGAGTTGCAAGTCAGTCAAGGGTGAATCTGAATTGCAAGTCTGAGCTGCAGATCAGTTAAGGGCAAGCCCGAATTGAGTCTTGAGTCATTTAAGGGCGAGTCTGAGTTGAGTCATGAGTCAGTTAACATGTGGCTTGAGTGCTACTCACAGCAAAATACTTTGTAATTGGGCTGTGAGGGCTCATTTGCATGTAACATCCTTCTGCAATAACAATATCGACCAATATCAAAATTAAGATTAACAAGCAATATATTGTGTATATTGTGTAATCCAGAGTTTCCTGCATATAAATCCCTCTGTTCTCATTCATTTTTTTAATCTGGATGACTGATTGATTGATTGTGTATTGCAGTGTCCCTGACCTCTGCAGGGCCCAGCAGCTTGGCGCTCTCTCCTATGCTCTCCTCAATGTAGCAGCGTTCTTCGTCAGTGATGGTGGGATGTTCTGCTGGACTCTCATAGGACACCAAGATCCAGAACATGTACCATACAATGCCCAGACTCCCTGAAGTTAGAGAGTGAAAGAGCAACAGGAAAAGACAGTGAAGTCCTACTGTATATACTTATATAACTTTAAGTGAATTAAAAAATCATTAGTGTCTCAGTGAGCCTGTATGACTGGCACATCCAGTGTCAGCACAGAGGACAGACTTGTGGAAACAGTAGAGGAAAAATCGATAGAGTGTTAGATACCAAATCCATACTACTGTTGCTGCTCTGCTGCACACACTGGGACTGGACATTACAAAGACGCGATGACCATTTAGGCCAAATTGATAATGCTCCATGCATGCAAGTATATGAATACTGACAATACACATTTTAAAGGGGCACTCTGGCCAAAATCGAAATGTAACCATTACTACATCTGTTGCAAACATAGCTCAGCTCCTACAGTGGTGCCTCAGGAGTCACAGGGTGACATTTTCCAGTTTAAAGACTTGGAAACCCCTGTTCTGATGATGCATCTTGAAGGTTTAAGGAACTTTTGAAAAACTACAAGAGCTTTGGGGCTGTTGTTTTTGATGTTTTCTTTCCCCACTTCCCTTGCTAATACAGAAGGAAGCCAGATAGCTAGAGCTACTGAATATTGTATGTGTATTTCTTAACATCCATGCTAGCAGTGGGGATTTCTAGGGATTCCCAGTGGTTGTATGACGGATTTGTATAATGAATGCTGGATATTGTAGTGAGATGATGAAAATGTGAAAACGAAAAAATCATGAATTCTGCCAAACCGATGAATCGAATGCAATGCTGTACTACAGAATGCTGCATAACAGGACAAATGGCATATTAAATGCTAGTTTCAGGCTGAAATGCCTCCTTTAAATGCATTATTCACTTATGAAACTTAACTTGGTTACTTAACCAGTAACTACACAAGGGTTACATGACTGACCATTTTTGTTACCATATAGAACCAATAATATTCTTTAAAGAACTATATACAGCAGCTTCTCCAACTTGGAGAACAGCCATTCAAATGTTATCATGGTTATATAGACGATGCTTTTATTAAAGAATACTTAAGGAACCTTAATGAGTACACTATGAATTTCTCAGTAAACTCTATGAAATTACAATACAAGATATGACTCAGGGGTTCTTAGCGTTTAAGCTGTTGATGCAGAGGCTTAAGCGGAACAGACCAAAAGACATCTTCAACATGAAAATGATGGTAGAGCTTTGACTCTGGTTCATATCTAAAGGTTAAATTTACTTATTGGTGATTTCATAACCATCTTTAAATGCTGAGGTTTATCAAAATGTCAGGCAGGCCATGAACAACCATTAAGGAGACACAAACTTTTCTGTTATGGAGGAAAGCTTTGCGGGTTGGTAGAAAGTACTTTAGTATTCAGTACTTTAACTTTACTAATGTGCAGCTACTAATGTATAGCTATTTCATTGCTATTCTCTATTCACATATTGTGTTTGTTTTTTTAAGTGAATAAAGTGAATACCTCACTAGGATGTTTGTGTGAAGAGGGTATGTGGTTAATATGATTATTATGAGATGATAAAACTCACCATAGACATAAAACACAGAGGACCAGCCAGTGTACTGCACCAAAATTCCAGCCAGAGGCATGGCAACGACAGCCCCGGCATAGGACCCTACAGGAGGAAGAATGGCAATTGGACATTCAGAGAGAGGATAAAGACCAAAACAGACTCTTATTTACAATGTCGAGGAGCTTGATTTATACCAAGGTGGGTCACATTGATAAGCAGTTACAACACATAAATAAATAGGGCAACAGGGACCTGTTGCTTGCCAACAGTGAGCATTCACCTATACTGTTAAACTCCAGAATTGTCTTCTTCTACATTTCTACAAAATATGTTGAAAGGTACCTTAAGGAACCAAAAGTGGTTCTTCTATGACTTCTATGACTGTTAAGAACCGTTTTTAGCACATTTATTTTAAGCGAATATTAACATAGCAGTTTTAAAGGGCTTTAGAGCCACACTTTAATCATTTACATGCAAAATGATATAATATGTGTAAGGATTCAATTGCAAATAGTGAAGAATGATGTCTGGATTAGTCTATACTTACCACAGAAAGAAGTGGTGGCCAAGCGACTCCTCTCCAGAGGTGGAGCCCATTTACTCCAGATTCCATGGCATGCTGGGTAGGTCACTCCCTGTAATTCAAAAACATTATAATCACAAGCAGAAAGCTATTTATCAATCTTAAAGTTCACTGCTCATTAGAGAACCATAAATCCTTAAATGGTTAAGAAATAATCTACTAGTTGAAATCGAACAGAATCAAGACCATCAAAACAGATTCTTTTGTTTGCAATGTCTCCAGTCCTGGTCCTGGAGAGCTACCTTCCTGCAGAACCTAGTTCCAACCACAGTTTACCACACCTGCTCCAGCTCACCCACATCCTCCCAATCAGTGATTGGCTGGATCAGATGTGAGTTAACCCCTTAAAATTGCAGTCTATTACATACTAAAGCTTATTATTCAGTAACTACAGGGACTTCAATGCAAACTGATTGAATTATTCTTAAGTTATATGAGCGTGGGCCCTGGTCATGGCAGGCGGGGCAGTATATTGGATACATGTTGGAACTAAACTCTGCAGCTCTCCAGGAACAGGGTTTAAAACCACTGCCATGAACTAATTGGATGAAAAAGTCCAATTTACAACCTTTAACTGGATGAAGTGACTTGTGAGCAAAAGGATATTTAATGGAAAATAAAGATTAGGCAAGCCTTCGTTAGATTTCAGAGTTGGAGAATTAGGAGAATCCTCTATATAATGATGCCAGTGCCCTCACACTGTAACCTGTTCATGCACAATGCATCACAGTTACAATGTTTTGCATTCAGTGACATGAAGCACTCCAGCAGATACAATTTAGTTCAAAAGCTATTAAAACACAGCACCCAGATCAATACAGGTCACTCAAAAAAGTCCGAAGGCTACCTCAGATTATCATTGTTTCTGAGGCTTCACACAAAAGCCTTCTCCCAGTAGCATGTTGCTCAAAGCTGAAGCGGAAATGATGCTCTGGGTGCGCAATTATAATATTCCTACTAAATGTAGCCTATTTGGCCGTTTGTGCATTGAGGGGATGTTTCATGCTTAATTTATGCATCTTCAGATGTCTTTTCAGTAGGTAGTCCAGTCTTCTAACAGTATTATCTTTACACAGAGCTCCAATCACTGTTTCTGTAAAATAGAAATTGCGCATGTAGTTACAGGGGTAGGCGGAGCAATATTTCTGATACTGACGTTTGTTTTTGAGGATCGACTCTCTGAAAATATCGATAGTAAGCGTTTTCTTTAAGCTGATGGGACAGTTTATTTGCTACTAACACACATACTTTCAAATATAATACAACATTACTGGCTTTTACTGTAGAAATCACAAAGAAATCCCCCTTTCATGTGCGCAAAAGACCTGAAGTAGCTCTACTGGTTTTCGTATTGGGGTATTCGCTTTGTCATTGCTTGGCATCAAATAGAACAGAAAGCGAGCGCTATGGCCCACCCCTAGCAGCCATATTTCTACTGACAGACCCGAAGTAAAAAGGCGCGTTACCTCCACCAGCCCTTGTAATATCCTCACGAAGATGACGCAGCCGTAATGGACCCGGGCAGCTGAGGGGATGAACATGTTGAGGGTCGACGTCAGAACGATGGCCGCCCCAAAAACTCTGAATAACACAAATACAACCCACAGTCAGGCACTGTAGTGCAATATATATATATATATATATATATATATATATATATATATATATATATATATATATTGGTAAGCTTTCTAAGCATATATCCTCCTAAAACTCCAGCCAATTTATTCTCGCTTTAGAAATAAAATAAAACAATAAATTTATAAATAATAAAAATGGTTACTTTATTCGGATGGTCCCCTATAGATGATCTTCAGATACTTATATTATTAACAAACATTCTAGTGATACTAAATCGAACGACATTAAGGTTAGGATTAGGTTTAAGAGTAGGTGTAGGTTTTGCCTAGAGGTCAGGGTTAGGCTTAGGATTAGGGATAGATTTAATAGAATGTTTCACAGGCAACACAGGCAACTGAACAGCTATTCAGCATATATGTAGAATAATCATCTACAAAGCATCTACAGTGGACCATCCAAATAAAGTGTTCTCAGAAAAATATTAAATCTGTTTATAGATGCTTCTATTTCTTATTATTTTCACCTTCTCTACATTACAGTATTTGAGAAAAATTAGGTTGTGACGAGCTGCATGGCCAGATTAAAGTAAAATAATTGAGTCAGTGTTGCTTTGTTGCTACATTTTGGCAGTCGCTGACATCAATAACACATTCACGCTGAGATTTTTGGGATAAACAAATAAAAGAAACGTGAGATATGAGCGTTGGAGCTTGGATGGCGGGAGGTGGTTTAATGCAGCGCGCGCTCTGCCTCCAGCTCGAGCTATAAAAAACGTGCTGCAAATGGCCAGCATAAAGCGAATGGACTGCACGAGGACGAAATCGGAGTGTGAGACTGTCTCGCGCAGGGCGTCAGTAATATTTGTAATTTCTCAGCCGGTGGGACTATAACCTCTCTCCCGTCCTCCATGTGTAACATAAGGAGCACGAGACGGGCCTTTAACCTCCCCACCACCACCGCCAACCCCACCCCCCATCCCCAGACTGGCTTCCCCGCGGGAGCTCATTAACAGGTGGCTGAAGCCCAAAGCGCAGACACAGCCAGGACCACTGCCGTGCGCTCTCTCTTCTCCACCGCTTTCCTCCTTCTAGACGGAACTGAACAATAGAGGCTGGAGCTGCAGCGTGTAAGCTACGCGTCAAATGACACACAAAATATAATGACGACTTAAAATATATATATATTTAATCATGTTAAATAACGAATGTGGTTATGGATACATTCATCATCCATCGAACACAGTCCACTTATTATCCTTATAGGAATATGACTCATTTAACATGCAATTCTAAACGCATCACTGCAAGACCGACAGTCTGAGCGGATGTAAAGAGCAGAATGAGCGCTGTGGCCGCTGTACCTGTTGGCCGCTAGTCTGGAGGATATGTAGCCCCCCGGGATTTGAGTGACGATGTAACCCCAAAAGAAAGAGCCGTGGATCATCCCCACTGTCTCAGGGTCCCAGTTAAACTTAGCTTTCTGTAAGAGAACACAGCACAGTTAACACTCTGAACACACACAGCCGTGTGTGCTGCATGAAATACACTCTTAAGAAAGATCAGGGGTTCTTTAGAAAAACAAAGGTTCTACATAGAATCATGAACACTCAATGACCCCTTAAATGGTTCTTTGCATGGTGACATTGTTTTACAGATTGATGGAGAATGTGTTGTATATGGTTCTACATAGAACCTTTTTGAAAAAAAGGGTGCTGCTATTGTTACGATGTCAATCTTGTAACGATATAACTGTTTTTGATGCTATATAGAACCATTTTCAAAAAGGTTCTGTGTAGAATCTAATTTATATCGTGTAACAATGTAACTATAGAAGATTTATATTGTTATAAGATGACATCGTAACGATAGCAGAACCCTTTTTTGGTGCTACATAAAACCCTTTTCAAAAGGGTTCTACATCGAATCGTATACAATGCATTCTCCACCAATCTAAAGAACAACCATTTCACCATGCAAAGAACCTTTAGTTCTTTTACGTGTTCCCGGTTCTAATAGAACCTCTGTCTTTAGGACAGAATGTTTTAAAAACCATCTTTTTCAAGGTTGAGAACAAATAGGAAAAAAACGCATTCAGATGACATCTTTTATACTTAGGCGACCATTTATTGGTATTTCATTTATTCGTTCTCTCACGTGCATGTAACATTCATTACAGGCTATAAAATTTAGTAACTGGCCCATAAGATTTAAACTGATGTTTTTTGTGATTTTTTTTCCAGCTCAGAAACACAAACGGTCTCTGCAGTTCAGTTTTACGCTCAAAATCAGAGCATTTAAAACGAAATATGCGCACACAGTATGCATTTCGTTTCCAATGCTTCGATATTGTGATAGATTGAATGCGTGTAGATGTGTGAGAGCTCAGCCACTGAAAGGGTGTGTGTGTGTGTGTGAGGGGGGGGCGTAACGATGGGAAACACCTTCTTGACGTAACCACCCCCCTATAAAAATTCCAGACATGCACCCAGGCGGACACCGCGGCTCGCGCGCGCACCTCCTTGATGATGATCTTGCCGTTCTGGTGGATCGTGCTGTTGTTGACCATGCTGACGATGGCCACGCCCAGGTTGCAGCGGATGCCGAAGGAGATACAGAAGCCCAGGCCGCTCATGATGGCGATGATGTAGCGGCGCGGAAGCCCGAAGCACGTGCAGTCGCACAGAGGCGCCTTCCGCTCCCTGCTCGGGGCAGGACGACCATCCTCGGTCAGTTCGATACTCTCCCCGGGCTTCTGACGCCTCTCCAGCACCCTGAGTACATAAATATGGAAATACACATATGAATAATCATAAAATAATCAGTACAGAACGAACTCAACAAGAACAAAATGATGGGAATGTTTACATATTTTGATAAATATTAAATGCAAACTACTAATAATTAAATAGTATGAACTAGAATCTATATTATCATTAATAAACAGGGTTATTTTTACGATCATGGTCTATTTGTTGCCATTTACTCAGATAATGAATAGGCTGAAAGCTCCACGAGCTCCTTTGGGGTTTTTCGTTATTTATTCATTTTTATTATTAGTATTATTTATTTATTTGAAAAATAAAGAGGCAAAGAATATAACCAATAATGCATGTAAGATGCATCAAAACAGGTAATAGTAGAGAGCTGTATTTTGACAGTTATTCGGAGTGAAGGCACTATGAGCACCTATTTATTTATTTATTTATTTATTTATTTATATATTTATTGTACAATTATTTTGCTAAGGACAAGGAAAATTGTCTGCAGAAGAGACAATAAAACGCCAAGATATGAAAAATAATGCATGTAGAGTACATTAAAACAGTTATGTAATATCGGCTGCATTAGGCACCTTTAAGTGCTTATTATTATTACTATTATTATTATTATTATTATTATTATTACGGATGTTGTTACTGTTATTTTATACAGGGTTATTCTTGTTGCTGTGCTCTATTTCTGGCTTTTATTGAGGCTGAAAGCGGCACGTCCATCTTTTTAGGCCACAAACCGTTCCAAACTGCTGGATTCCGTTGATTAAAACTGTCTGCAGCATTAAAACAGTGTGTCCGTGTATTTCCAGTGATGTTAGTGTTAGCAGAAGCTGTGTGATGTGCAGTGAGAGTGTGTGTGAGGCGTACAGGCCTGATGCTCTTCAGCTCTACCGCATTGCAGCATTTCTCTCACCTTCACCCTCATCTGCATTCAAGCAGCTCGATGATCCGAATTTCCAGCAAAAAGCGGGAAGATTAGATTAGCGGACGGCTGACTGTAAACGTGAGCGGGGGGTTTGGTGTATGCATGTGTTAAACAGTCGCACAAGCAGTTTATGTGTGCAGACAAACGAGTCTGTGTGATGAAACTGTTCAATCAAAAATATAACGATTATGAAACGAAATGTCGATCTTAAGACTCTTTAGGCTCTTTTCGTTCACGCCGCATTGCATCCTATTACATATTCTTACACTGGATGAATTATTAACAGAGAACAGTGATCCAGAGGAATGTTAGCGGTTTTCTAAACAGCTGGATCATCTCATGTTCATCGAAATGCGCTTCTGGTCTTACTAGCAATGTAATATATTCGAAGCAATAATAAAACAATTCAGACTGGAAACGAAAAAAAATGAAACTGTCTGAGAAGGCTGTTTCAGGGGAGATTCCTGAATGCTGGAGCAGTGGACGGTGGAGCGATGATCATCTACAGTTACTCAGTCGAAAAAAAAAGAAAAGAAAAACCCACACCGCTGTCTGTTTCAGGCTAAGGGGAAAAGTGGGAAATAAAACTGTAACATCTGGAGCAGAGGTGAAGTGATGAGGAGAGATGTTCTCACATGATGGTGATATTTTTTAGTGTGAATTATTTAAAGGCCCCTCTGGAGGGGCTCCAAGAAGACGCCACTCAGGGGGGTGTAGAATTTTTTCCATTTCTTCCATCAAACCATTACAGCTCAATCAGCAGTGTGGTTCTTCTACTTCTACTTGGATCTTCTAACTTAAATAAAAAACACTTAAAAAAGATGGTTCTTCAAGGGTTCTTTAGTAAAAACAGAGGTTCTATATGGAACCATGAACACTCAAAGAACCGTTTGCATGCTTAAATGGATTTTTGCATGGTGCTTCATTGATTGAGGATGTGTGGTATATGGTTCCTTTTAGAAACTGGTTCTATACAACAGCACCAAAAAGGTTTCTCCTATACATACATACTTGCATGTATACATATATATATATATATATATATATATACACACACACACACCACTACTTATATTATATATACTGTACTGTAAGAGATATGTGTGTCTGTGTGAAGAGGTGTCACTGTCTGTGACCGTCTTCTTTTCTTTTTAAACATGCTGCCATCCTCCTCCTTGTTTAAAGCTTATTACAGGACCAGCACTGAATAATACAGTAATAATACAGTAATAATACAGTATATTCAAGATTCGCTTGCTGTCTTTTTTTTTCTTCCTGAAACTGCATGCATTAGCTTGGCTTACTTGTACATGTGTCCCAGGGTCTTCCCCGCGAGCTGCTTCAGACCCTCCTTGTTGGGAGTAAAACCGGCCTCCTTCGGAGTATCCATGTTCAAATGTAATAATCCCTCGGCGCGTTTATGTTTGTTTTTTTATTTTTATTTAATATTTTTATTCTGTCGCTGTTACAGGAACGAGCTGGTCAGACATACCGGACAGAGCGCGAGCGCATGCGAGATGAAGGCAGACAGATGAGCACAAAAACCGACGAGGGTCTTCAGAAACAGACGGAGCGCGCGGAAAAAAACCGCCTACATATGAGAGAAATCAGAAGTGGTCTGGCCCTCTCCTCACACTGACGGAGAACGCGCTCTTCGTGCTCACTGCGAGAGTTCCCATCTCGGTGCACAGCCAGCGAAGCTCACTTCAAACACGAGAATGAAGGAATAATAAGTTTGTAAAATGAAGAAGTCTAAATCTAAAACCTTAAAACAAAAGCACTGTGAGTGACGGAACAAAAACGAAGGGGAGAAGTTTGCTTTTTGCTGATCGTGATGCTTCTCTGAAGGCTTTTCAGCACCAAGGTCAGCGACCAGCCTCGTGCTTCAGCGCAGCGGCGCGTGGTGCCGCTGCCCGCTAGGCGGACCCCCCCATTACTCGTCAATCTCGCAGACTGTCGGCTGGATGGGGAGGGGTCAGAGAGGGTGGGAGACACTCGCCAGAGGTTTGGGCTTCAGACATCGCCTGTTTGTATCAATGTGACATTAGAAAGAAAAATAAGACGCAAACTAATTGAGTTAACGCGCTCAGGACATCTGATATCACACAATATCAGCAGCGCGAGCGGCTCCGCTTTAAAGCTCATTGGTTGTTTTTATATAGTAAAGGCCACGCGAGCCTCCTGGGGGCGGTGCTATGGTAACCGAGCGAGGCGCGATCGAGATCATGCTTCTGTGAAGGCATAAAAATGTATTAATAATTCAGCGAGTCTCTCTCTCTCCTGCTTCTCTGCTATTCTGAAACTGCAGTACAGATTCTATCGATACGCGAAGGCTAACATGCACTGCATGTTTCTATTACACTGTCAATGTATCACATTTAAACGCTCGAAACAATGAATTAGGCGACTTTGTTTGACATGAGGCTTCAGCGTTAAGTACAAAACGTGTGCATGCTGTGCTCTCACAGTCTGAGTGCAGGAGCACTGATCCACACTATAGGCACAGCGAACAGGTAGTCGGACCTGCTATAAAGTGAACAAATGGCGCCATCTAGTGGCCAACAGACACGACACAACTCGCCACGTTAGTTCTCCAAACCTTTTTTATTATTTGGCACATTTCCACTGGAATGCAAATTAAGATTTTCCTCAGAAAGAAAAAAAAGAAAAAGTGTAGGTCTGTTTCAGAATGAGTCATGCAACTCAAACAACTGGGACACAGTGACACTCAACATTTAAGGGCAAGTAATCATTTATATTCTACTGATAAAAAAATGGTTAATAGCACCATAATTAAAGGGAAATGTCACCAACTTTTTAAACCTTCTGCATAATTAAATGGTTAAAAGTAAACACTCATTCAAAGTGGTTTGATATGAAATGCTCTGTTCTAGAGAAACAAATCTAAAGCCAGAATTGCTCACAGTATTGGTGAACAGAACCAGATACCTAAAGAGTTTAACACCTCTGAAAGCTCCCTCACAGGAAGATAAGTGAAATAATTATGAATATGCTACCTGATGCCTGAGATACTGGGTCTTCCTCAAATGCCTGAGTGTAAGCCTAGCGCTGTGTCCTTTGAAACAGCATTTGCTGCTCTGGGTGTCATTTGAGACAAAAAACTTTTTCTTTCCTTTTTCAGATTGTCCACTTTACCATTATCAACATATATATATATATATATATATATATATATATATATATATATATATATATATATATATATATATATACACACATAATACACATGTAGGTTCACTGATCATTTTGGACAGTAAATAAAATGGCTATTTTTTGTGCTGTAGACTTTTTAGTTGGTAAACTCTCCACAATGCACCATTTCACAACAAAACACTCTGAATCACTTTCTTTACTTCTCCACAATTGAATTGTGCAGAAATTTGGAAAACTGGTGGAATTTCCCTTTAATATACTCTATATGTCCAAAAGTGTGTAGACACCCACTCATCCAAAATACAGTCTGAAATCATGTACAATAGTGAGTTTGACTCCCCTTTGCTGCAGTAGCAGTCTCTACTGCTCTGAAAATGCTTAACACCAGTTTGAAAATTGCTGTGAGGATTTGACTATTCAGCCACAACAGCATTAGTGAGGTCAGGTACTACCCTGGATGATTAGTTCTGGGTCACAAATACCACCCCACCTCATCCCAAAGGTACTGGACAGAGCTCCATCACTCCAGAGAATGCTGTTCCATGGTAACCTTGGACTCATGTGTAGCTTCTCCAGAGTGTCCAGTTCCAGTTCTAAGCCATGTGTGCAGCAAATTCACCAATTAGAAAGGGTGTCTACAACCATTTGGACATGTGTATAAGCAAGTCTAATTACACAGGAGTAAACACATCTTTCAAGGCAAATGTAGACATGTGGTCCCAATTTTACACAGATAAATACAATACTGACAGCCCAAGTCAGTCATTTCTAATCATGGCCCTGTCATAGGATCGGAAAAAGCCTGAGATAAATATTTTTTGCTTACAAATTGAGTTTACACCACATCTTGTTTGAATTCTTCTACTTCTATAACTTAAATTGAGCTTAATATTTCAATAAAGGGTCAAAACAAATACATTAAGAAAATTCTTTTAAAGTCAGATAAGTCACCCTTCAGCAACAATACAAAAGGAACATATACCTTATGTTCAAAACAATACAGATATGACTGCCATACCATATATACAAAATAACAGATTCATATAAACATGATACATTTAATATACACAGAAATATGCAACTAGCAGAGCAAAAATTGCCAATATATTGGAACTGATATTGTCTCTCACAGATAAATGGCAAACTTAACAGTATACTCAGTGATTATGAAATGTACTGAAACACAATACAGTCTTATAGGCACAATACTAAAACACAGACTCTTTAGTGTTTGCCCTAGTCTCCCCAAGGCCTGTGAACAGATCATGGACTGATGGGTGATCTGCTGTACAGTCATATGCAAAAACAGGTCAAATGACGTTTTGTTGATTTTCTAAGTGAAAATACGTTAACACGTCTTTTACAGCAGCGGTCACCAACCCTGGTCCTGGAGATCTACCTTCCTGTGCACTGTAAATCGAACCACAATCTGCCCCACCTGCTTTTTGTTTATATATATATATATACACACACAAAAATGTGTACAGCTTGTTCCCTGTAGAGAGACATGGTACTTTTTTCACTTTAAAAAAAATCAACTAAACGTGTAATTTGACTGAGGGTGCATAAGATAAAACTAAAACTAAACTACGGAAGAATGAATAAACAAGAAACTACTACATGATCAGACGATTTAGACTGGGAGAGGGGAAAATGCAAATGCCTCTGGACCTGATGTTCAGAAATGCTTTAAGACCTGATGCTTTCTGTTCATACTGGACTGGTATAACAATATTAAATTGCTATTCAATAAATAAAAGTTATTCACAAGATTCAGAGTATATACCAGGACTGTATATACAGTATTGCACAAACGTTTTTGGCACATGAGAAAGTGAGATTTGAAAAGCTAATTGATTGGGCAGTAAGCATTTATTTGCTTGTAAAACCATATATTAGAATCAATATTGCTGTTGTCGAAACAAAACCTCGTATCTCCAAAATGGTAACTTTACAGGAGAGGGAAAAAACATACTTTTCTTTTAATGTTAGTCAATGCAACCAGACTTTTTCCCCCCAAGTAATTCTGGGCCATTTCTTTTGGTCCACTTATCATGAAATGTACACACAATGTAAATGACAACAGGCATTTTCAGATTATATCAAAAACTGACGAAACAACAAAAATGGAGAGACAAGGTTTTGTTCCGACAACAGCGATATACAACAAATCTATACAACGCCTGCGGGCATTAAAGAGAAATCTAGAAGCAAACATTGTTCTTCTAATCAACTCGGAAGTTGTCAACTACTTGTTCAAAAAAACTTACACACTTATTCTAATGTTATACTTACTGCAGAGATAAATAATTTTAAACAATTTACTTCAGTGCCTTGGACTTTTGCACAGTACTGTATCTCCTGTTCAATCTGAATGTAGTGCAATAGATAATGTTGAGTTTACTAAGACTTCCTGAACCAAGTTAGGCTGCATTCTCAGCCTCTTTTATGTCACCTGAGGATCAAATATCAATATCAATATCAAATATCCTGTAATCCTCATTGGTAGCACTTCACTGTAAGGCAGTGTTAAAAGGACTACATGACACCTGCATAAGCCCTTCATGACAACTGACGAACCTACATAAACATTTATAAACACTTTTTCCAATAGGTGTCGTGTCATAAAGCTTGCATTTGCCAACTTTAATGTGCAGTTGACAACAACTATTAATTTCATGTAACATTGATTTATTTCTGATATTAGGTTTTGTCAGACATTTTCTGGGGTGAAATGAACAATAAGCAAATTTAAAGATGATTCACACAATAGGTTACAAATTAGGACACTCCACTGATGTTGGAGGGATGAAATGCACAAAATATGTAGAAAAAAAAGGTAAACAGTTTATATGCTAGACTTGCTGTAGTCCAGCGGTCACCAACTCTGGTCCTGGAGAATTTAGTTCTAACCTCCATGTAAATATGCTGGTTATATGATGCCCTACCTGACACTAATGCACCTGATCCAGCCAATCAAGGACTTCTGAAGATGTTAATCAGCCGAAGCAGGCCTTGGTTGGAAATTAACTACGCAGGCGAAGGCAGATCTCCAGGACCAGGGTTGGTGATCACTGCTATAGTCAGTTCAAAGACAAATATGATAAAACACGCACTTCCAGTGTCACCATTGTGGCAGGAGTGTTTTGACTGACATTAGGTTTCTCTAGACGGGTTTCCACTGAAGTAAAGCTGATCTGAAATCAGGGTCTAGAGTGTGAGTGTTTCTCAACCTTAATACTGGAGGCCCACTGCCCTGCACATTTTAGTGCTTTTCCTGCCACTTTAACTCAATAATGGGCTGTTTATGAGCTGAATAATTGGATCGGGTGTGTTGCGAGCAGGGAGAACACTAAAAAGGTGTATGGCAGTGAGTCTCCAGGACCAGGGTTAAGAAACAATGGTCTAGAGGACTCTGTAGTTAAAAAGAGAGGAGTTGCAGTGTTGATGAGCCAACAGATGTCCAAAAATAGCTTACACTCATGCTCAGAACCTTTCTAATCAATCAGCTCTAGAACGAAGATAAAACAGGTCATGCAGCCTCTGTCTTGCTCTAATACCATTCAGTCAATTGGAACAATGCACTAAGACATCTCGGTTGCTTCTTCTGAAAAGGGAAACTGCAAAATAGCTGCAGATAAAAAAATTGAAAAAAGCTTAATTGTCTTTGAAGAGTCTTTAAAAGGTCACATGATCATACTTTCCTTTTGAACGCTGTTGGTTTATATGGCAAAATAATGAACAATTCGATTCATTCATCATTCAGAAGGATGTACTGTCCAAATGATGGCATTTGCCAAAAACCATGCCTGCCACAAAAGTCAGCATAGATCACTGCATGCTTAGGAGAGACGAGTCAGATAAGTGCACTGAGGATGAAAGTAAAGCACAGAAACCAGGAGAACCGCAGGATCCTGTGTTGCTCTCAGAGATGTTCCAGAGTTAAGTAGCGTTCCAAGAGAGGCCAGGCTAGATCTTTGCTTATTCATGCAGTACAACATGGTTCACTGTCTACAACTTCTTGATCTGCTTGTCAACCCAAGCAGGGGTAGACTGGGTGGGCCCAAAGCCTCAGAGCTCATTAGATACATTCGGACAGAACTTCATGCTTGTCTGGGCTGGAGGGAAGCAGCGAGGTCGTCTCTGTGGTTACGCAGAAGCTCTGGCTCAATTGCAGCTTCAGCTTCTCCACCTCATAGGTGTGCAGGTATTCCTGCACCAGGTAGCGTTCACGCTTTATCCGGGCCTTTACTTCTGACGGCACGTCAGGGATCAGCCACGCCACGAAGAACTTCACCACGAACACAACATGCTGGGAGGACCAAAACAATCAATGTAGCACTTCAGAATTAGCACACAAGCCTAATTTATGTGTCATTAACTACAAGTTAATCTACCCTGGAGAATGCCTTAGTTTTCTAAAACTGTCTTTTAAATGTATCGTGTGAATGACATATTATTTTACTGTTTTCTCAGTTTGTTCAAACCTGTTTTAACCTGTTTGGTTAAATTCTAAATTTGCACTTAAATATGTTATATGTGTGAGTAACAATTAGGGATGCGCTGAAATTACAGCTACTGAAACATTTTGCCCCAAAATGGTCAAAAGTGGCACAGTTTTTCATTTGAAAGAGAAAAAAAGGCAAACAATTTGGCCATAAAACATAAAAGATTAAGTAGGACTACCACAAAGTGTCAAGAATCTAAGACTTTCCAAATAATTTTAATAGTAATGGAAAAAAGAAACAATTGACAACATGTTCTTTTTCCTTTGCTGGTCAGTACAAGTGGGGGAAAACAATGGGGGGGGGGTGCTGTATGGAACTATTTCATGGTTTCTATGAGGGAACATCAGACAAGCAATTTATCATCTCTGCTCATATCGAATATCAAGAGGAGGTACATTGCTGTAGGTTTGACACCACTTGAAAAAATTCACAAATGACAGGCAAAATGCGACACATAACTAAAAATAATGGAATTCATTGCCTTGAATGACCAACCATTCTCTGTTGTTGAGGACATTGGATTTTGTGGCACACACACTGTAGCCAACATGTTTCATATTTCTACATCATTTTAGTAAAATAATTTTAAACTGTTCTTATTTACTATCAGTTCAGTTTCGTCTTATTGAAAGCAGATTTAATCGATAATATAAAGTGTATTTTTTATTACCTTATAGTTTTATGTTTAGTATTTTTGTTCAAAAGCAAAAATAAAATGGCAGGAAAAAAACAAACAAACAAACAAACAAAAACTCTTTCAGTTTTAGGTTTCTCATCTTTGGCCAGGTATGTCTTGAATTACAATTTTGGTTTCCTCCATCATTTTGGTGCATCACTAGTAACAATGGCATTTATATGAGACCACTGCGTCCTCCTGCTTACTAATAAAATATAATCTTGATGCAGAATTTTTAAATCAGATTTTTGTTTTTTCAGAAGTGGTGGATTTAAAAATGTCATAACTTGGTTACTGATTGAGATATTTTCATCATCACACAATATCAGTTATGAAGGTGTAATTGAAAATACTGAAAATATAATACATGCCTTGCAATTTGATAACACTGTTCAAATTAGTTCAAAATTTAGGAATTTCAAAATTTGAATAGAAATTAAAAGAAAAAATATAGCCGCAAGCGGCAATGAGCGGGTCCAAGCACACATAAGCCCAAGAAGCTCTCATGCACTTTGAGCCAAATAGGCCTAATAAGGCCTAACTCAGTTTGGGCCTTCGAGGCAGAGAGGCTGAAAAGAAGTCTGAGTTTATCAACAGGCCTTCATTTGTCATGAACAATGAGCAGAGGATTTTAAACCTAATATATGTTTACATTTCAATTTACTGATCTACAAAGGTTTGAAGGAATACATGAGTAATGGTAAAATTTCTGTCTTTTTTGTGTTTGCAAAGTATTTTGTTTCTCCATGTTAAAGCCTTTGATAAGCAGGACATAATGAGACCCAGTGCAATCATAAGAGTCCTTTTAGCAAAAAGGACCTTAGTGAAAGTAGGTCAGAATTGGTCCAAAGGTCTCCACATGTTATGAAAATTGATCAGGGACCTTCATCAAAGATGTTCACCAAGTTTTGTTCAGACTGACCTTTTGATCTTGGTATAATAATCTGTAGTCTTTGAATGAATAATTCAAAATACCAGAGAAAGAGTACAATTTATGACATAACATGTAATTACAAAGTTATTCAGATCAGTGAACTGAATCAGAAGACACCTCTTATTTATCCGTAGACTTTGTAGTATTGTTGGAACAACATTTTTAAAGATTTTAGATGTTTTTGAGTGCTAAAGCGCCCCCTATTGGCCAATCAGGATCAAATTTTGCAAGCCACATCAGAGTCTCAATTTACAGATATCTCTACAATTTTGAGATGATCGGACCAAAGACTGATGAGTTATAGCAATTAAAGCTAGCAATGCTATGGCCGCAATGATTAAGTCCTGGAGGGAGATGATAATGAGCAAAAAATTGAAAATGTGCTGGATAATTATTTACCTAGAGAGGCTACAGAGTATTTCTAGACCGGTTTTGAGAAGGCAGCTTAAAATTCCACGGACTAGTTCGAAAAGTGCTATTTTCAAACAATTAACAATTAAAAAACAACTATACACTTTTTTTAACAAACTTATAATGACAAAATGGTTTGGAACTCTGTGCTGCATGAGGTCATCTAAGTTATCTGACCAAAAATGACAATCTGTACAAGATTTTTTTCAGTAACAGCACCCCTCCAGGCGGAGCTTAATGGTCCAAATTACAAAGTTGTTTTGTTGGACCCAAGGAATCAGGAAAAAAATGTTTCTTGTCTGTCAAAAATCAGGGGAAGGAGTTAAAGGGCCAAACGCATTGTGTTGCGTAATAGCGCCCCCTTTAGGCCGATTGGGCTCATGTTGCGCGCCTGAGTAGCGGGAGGGACTACTACCTATTGACCTACTGATTAAGTTTCATGTCTCTAGGACTTACGGTTTGGTCTGGGCGATTTGTTTTATCGGAGAAAAAGTATAATAATAAGAAAAACTCTAACAAAAACAACTAATTATATATGTTGTTGCATACCAGTGAGATTAGAGCTTGGAGCAGGAGGCCTGGAGCTGGGAATGCAACATGCAACACTAAATGTGCTAGCTGATTACATTTATTGCTACCTCTGGATTTCAACCAATGCAACTACATTAGATGATATATTTAATAGAATGCAGCTGATATCGTCCCTCTCCACAATGCACATTACACACTGCATTACTGTGTATTGTGTCATGATGCACTGTTACACCTGTATTAACAGATTCAGAGTGGTTTGAACATATTGAATCAAACTTATTGTCCTTACCTCCATGATGATGATGAAGGCCATCTTGGCTGCAAGAATATGCCAGAACTGCATAGTGTGTGTGTATTGCCTCTCATGGCCTGGAGGGTAGCGGTAGTCTCGATATCTAAAACAGTTCACATGAAACTCAAATGTGATTGTTATGATGTTATTGCGATTACATACAGTCGTACGCAAAATTTTAAATATCTCCAGTTAAACTATATGCTTTGTTGATTTTCTAAATAAAAACAAGGTAACATCCAAAATAGGGAACAAAACTAGCAAAATATGGTATATTTCTGCATAGTTTAGGGTATGATTTATATTTATTTGCTGAGTTTAACACAGTGGAAAATAATGAAACATAAAATATAAAAAATGTCCCATAACTTTTGCACAGGCCACATTTCATGCTTCATTAAAAAATGTAATTATGCATTAAATTGTGCAGAAGTGTATTCTCTGTAGAGGACGTACTTATTTTCACTTATGAAAAGAAAAATGAATAAATAAATTAACTTTGTGCCCAAACCTTGCATACGATTGTAGTAAACGTCACACATGTACACACATACACAAGTACACATACACACTTACCTGCATGTTGTGATGTTGCTATTGAACCAGGCAGGGTGCTCCTCAATGTCTGTTATGTTTTGTATATGTAGCTCGTTGATTTCATACACTGAGAGGCTGTTGTTAATGTAGCCTTCCATGGTAGCCTTTTCACCAGGGTGGTAAGCATATAGATAGACCAGGCGAGGGATCATATCAGAGGTGAATGCCATGATGAAGGCCTGCAAGGAAAGACACAGTGCAACAACACTGCATGTTACCATAGAGCAAAGTTGGACAAGCTTTTCAGAGCACTGGCAAAAGTCTCATTTCATCCATATTAAAAAACTCTCTATTTAAAAATACTTTCTATTGAGTTGAATTTCAACTTGCAAAAATAATACTACACATTTTTTAAATATTTTTTTTCAATGTAATTTTAAAAAGATCTTTCTGAAGTAGAATTATTTAAAATAATCCTAAGTTTAATTTTTAACTAAAACATTTTCAGAACATGCTGGAACACTTTTTTATGTGACTGCTGAAACACACAGAGTTTAGTCTACAGGTGCATTAAAACTCCTTGTCCCAAATTCTAAAAATCGGTCTGTAACCTTAAGAACTTTCAATTCAGAGACACATATTTTATGCAATTAATTATTTTTAAGTTTTTGTGTTTTAATGAAAAACATCATGATTTTGTGTTATTAATTAACTTTAAAAAAACCAAAACAAAAATCAGATACATCACTATAATATATCAGATATCACTATAAACATAAGTTTTCTTCAACCTTTTATCATGAAATGACTGAGGATATTTTCTCAAACACTGCTGTATTGGCGTAAAAACACTTTTTTGGTTTTGCTACTCACATTTGTGACGACAGACAAGATAGCCACCACATTTAGGATGTCTTTCCAGGCCCCAATGTTGCGTGCCTTGGCTGCCACAGGCCGGCGGAATTGTGTGGTAAACTTCCACGCGTCCACCCTGACCTCCAGTATGTTGTTAAAGAGAGCAAGGAGTGGAGCCAGAGGGAATGAGGCCACAAACAGGGTGATGAAGCCAAACTGGATCACTGTTTAAAAAACAACAGAGAGGTCAGATGAAGGCTTAGCATTCTTAGACACACCCTCTACCCCAATTCTATGAGGAGCTATAAAACAGAGCAGGCCTAAAACATAAAGTCACTGTTTCCTATTTGTATTTTTACAGAATCGCTGAATGACAACACGTGTTAATACTAAGGATGGGCATTGTAACCATTTTTGCTGTTTAAGAATCCTCATGTTAAAAAGAATGCTATTTTAATAGCCCTATGAGAAACATAGATGTGCACAGCTTGTATAAGAGGTAACCCTTGTGATGTTTTACCGGCTGACTTAACAAGACAAGGTATATTGTCTTGTATATACCTTGTCAACTTACACTGTACAAATGTGTCATGTTTAATACATTTCCATATCTAGCAGTGTGTAGATGTTGCCATTTTGCTTAAGCTGAGATGCTGTTTGTAAACTCACATTCTCTGCACACTTAGTAGAGCTGGGCAGTAACGCCTAAACTGCTATACCTTGATACAGACACACCGTCATATTGCTATTCAGTTTTTACCAAATACATTTGACAGATAACAAGAATTACATCTACAATACAATGACCATAAAACAGCAGTGTTCCTGCTGCCTTTACACATTCCATCAGATTACTGTTCACAGTACGGTGTAAGGTTTACACTGGTGACATTTTAATAGAAAAAAAAAACAAACAAAATGTTTGAAAAACATATCGCATCATACCATGTGATACTGTGATATATTTGGAAACTGACACTATATCAACAGCACCCATTTCTAATGCTCAGTTTGAAAAATATTTAAAATATGACAAGACTATGAAGAATTCATTCTTTTTTTTTGTCAAAAGTAAAGGTATAATAAGATGAATTTGGATATCTGTACAGTTGCACAACCGTGCCCATCTTTAGTTAGCACATGAATACACATGTTTGGCTCAGTTACACAATGACTCAAACCCTCAAATCATTACAAAGTGTGACACAGAAACATACCCATCTCCAAGTACTCATAGAAGAGACCAAACTGGCTGAAGTTTTGCAAGTCATGGTCCTGCTCCCATCGGCTGTACCGGCCATCTGGATGGTTCCGTCCTTTCCTGCTGATCCACCAGTTCCTCAGTAATCTGCCATCAGAGAGATAGATCAGATTACGCTTTGTGTATGTCTTATATGAAAAGTAAGAATAACATTCTTCTAATGATTTTTGATGTTGGCAAAACATAACTGATGACATAATTTTATCATTATTGTGATAAAACAGTAGCTTTAGTGACAACATGGAGAATATCATTAGTAATTAGTGAACACTGACCAAATGCATGTTCTATCAAAAAGTAAGCATAATTAGGCCTGTCTGACTGGATTACAGTGGAGTACAATATATGAAATGTTCAAAAATCATTTCACCTAGAGTTTCTGATGGCCGTTTTTAAATGTGGCACTACTGGTGCATTGTGTCTCTGTGTCTAAATACTGTGATGCACAACGTGTATCATGAAAATGTTTTTAAGCATTGTGATATGATATTTTTGCCATAGCAGTCACCCATAACTTGCAACTGTTTCTATAGTTTTTATGAGTCATATGTCATTTCCGTGTTTTTTTTTTAGATCTCAAAATACAGGGTCCCAAAAAAATTTACATCATTTCGTAGTCTAATAACAGCCAATTCTCCCTCAAATGATCTGATTTTTTATGTTTTTTTTTTTTCAGGTTGAAAAATGGCGTTCACTAGAAATGAAAAGGCATTTTGTGTGTTAGAATATGCTCGAACACAGTCAAACAAGAGTGTGCAGCGTGCATTTTCAAGAAAATTCAATAAAAATGCACCAACTGGAAAGCAGATTTGGACATGGCACAAAAATTCAAAGAGGAAGGCTGTCTGTGCAGGGCAAAGGGATCCGGAAGACCACCAGTATCGGAAGACATTACATTTGTGAAGCTTTGTGAAATCGGTTATAAAATCTACATCCCTCTGAATTTCTTGTTTGAAATTTGAAAAATAAATCTTGTATTGTTCAACATGAAGCCTATTTAATTTCGTTTGCCTGGACATGTAGTTACTCAGATATTCACATCTCAAATGATTTTTTTGGGACACCCTGTATATCTCAAAACATGCCTAGCTGTTAGCTTCACTGATCCAAAACTTGTGGTTACAATTAAGGCTGACAATATTTATTGTCATCGTAATAAATTACAATACAAGAACACCTTCCAACTGCACGTTTGATTACAAAGAGAGAAAAATTTGTTCTGTTTAATTAAATTTAGTGCAGCAGTGTGTAAAACATTGAATTGCTTAGATTATTAGTTTTTGAATCATTTTTAAAATGTAGTACTACTTTATTGGTTCCAACTTAGCAAATGTCAGATAATATAAATATTGTGACATATATTGTTAAAACATCTAGAAATATTGTGATTAATTTTTTTTGCCATAACACCCAGCTCTACCTATAAGAACCAAAAATGTATTAACTGAATATTAACTGAACTTAATGTAATTCTGTATCATTACATTTATTTCCACAAACAGTAATTATAATGCATTTCCTGGCACTTAGAAAAGAACAGAAAACCAGCTGACTTGAAACTTATAATAGAACACAATGTGCAGTTGCAAAACTCAATGAATAACTTTTGAAATTCAAGACTGTATAACAAGAATGAACAATACTGGTGTTAGGATGAGACAGACATGAGAGGCTGTTTTACCAAAGCTGTTCTTATAAAGTTTAAAGCAACTAAAGTAAAAAAGCAATTACAGTTAATCTTGCTTTCCATACTGTTTTTAAATATTCATGGAAAAAAAAATAGAAATAGTCCCATTTCTCAACGAAGAAAAAATACAGATTTACATTTTATTTTTGTAAAACACTTTCATTAAGTTCTGACTAAATAATTCACCAAAGTGTTCTGCAACAATATGTGCAACGCAATGTTGAAAGTTAATGGTGAAAAAACTGACACTACAAAACTGGACTGCATGTTACTATAGTCACATGTCCCCTATAGCTACTTATTAGTAGGAGTACCAGGTAAATTGGCCGATGAGTACAGGCACAAGGTAGGTGTACCTAATAAACTGATCAATCAGTGTAGTGTCAACCTACTTTGCCATTACTAAACAAGAATGACTTAACCTGAGTAGGTTGCAGAGGGTGTGACTAAGAAGACAGAAACAGTGTGACTAGGCTAATCATCATAGCTATACTTTCATTTGTGCTATTCACACTGCACATGAACAAATTTTTACACATGCCAATTTATGCTTAATTATGTCAAGGACTATTGTCCATGGTAACTGACGGTATGCCACAGATGCAGCAGACAAACTTTAGGTTGAAAAATGCAGGACTATTCCTTTAAAAGCTGTTGTGAAGGCACTCACGGTAGCAGGGCCTCCTGGATGTTCCCCACCAGCTGCTTCCCTGTCATAACAATCACCAGCTGAGTGGTAAGCTCTATCAGGCAGCCCCCTGGAGCACACTGCAAGAGGACCACACACTTAGGTTAATGCTTACGCTGGCAACACTATGAGGAAATTCAAACTGGGATGTTTCTTGGCAAAGGCACCATATTTTAAATGAAACTGCTGATCAAATCTTGAGAGAACTGCTCATTTTTGACTGACCCTGTGACCCTGACTACCTGCAAGCTGATTTAGAGTATTTTGATTCTCTACTTATTAAGTGATCACATTTGACATTTAATTTGATTTGGCTTACACAACATCCACTTATCATAAATGCTTTCCTTTCATGTAAACCCCTCTTTCATTTAATCCAGTGTTGTTTGCAGGTCATGCCAGACACAGGTCAAGAACAATTTGATCAAGGGACAGTCCGCACAAGTTGCCAATAAGAGTGCATGGCCAAGGCAATTTCCATAAGATGTTTGTCCATTTGATATATTTTCCAGTCTAATGCTAGTGTTTAGAATATATAATACAGATATAAATTACAGAAATGCATATCAGTTAATGTCAAATACAATGTAATTTCATGTACAGTATCTAAAACGTCTTGCCTTATTGATTGTTTGACATCGTTTTCTAGTTTAATGTATCATCAGCCTTATTTTGTAGTAACACTGACCCAGAGAGACACTGCTGAAAAACTGCAACAATAGTTTTAAAGACTAGAGAAGTTTCAGTCTAAATGTCACAAAAACATTCTCACGCTAAACTGTATGATAACACCATTTGTAGTTAAAAAAAAAAAATCTTAAGTTCAGAGAGTGCCTTTTATTGCCATCCTTGCTCTGTGTTTTGGAGCAAATGTAGCACTCTTCCAAGTACATATTTGAAATGTAATAATATTTATTTTGTTCTTAATATGTTTGATGGTACTGAAATTACAATTAAAAACATATATAAACAAATTAGGCAATATTGTAAATGTCGCACAATTGCAACAATGGCCTTAAATTGTAGGCTTATGTTTTTTAAGCATTATCCACACAGTGGCACCATTCACTCCATTATGATCAAGGGGTCCAACTCCAGTTTGGTGGACCCTAGTCCTATACATTTTAACTATTTTCCACCTCAACACACCTGATTCATCTTATCAGGTAATTTTCCAGCTGTTTATGTGTTGGATCTGGTGTTTTGTGGCACAGAATACATGAGACCGCAGGGTTGTGTGTATGCTCCTCTATTATATTCACAGAATATAAAATCATACAACTTAAAATACTAATTTAACTTACTTTTTAGATTTAAATATGCCATATATATCTTTTCGAGTTACAGACTCACTAACAGCAGATTAAAGTCAAACTCAAACTCAAATTCAACTGTGAGAACCTCATACATCAGAACCTAAACCCATAGTTGCAATTTTAGAAAAAAAATCCTCCAAAATCCACCTCAAAAGCAAAACATTTTAAAGCATTATACTTTTTGAATGGCCAGTGAATAATAGGTAATAATGAGTAAAAAAAAGAAAAGTTTACAGTCCAGAGGCTTTATTTTTATAATCACGTTTTAAATCCACATTGCTGGATATTATTAGTAGGATATAGTTATGTTAGATATTTCTTTTAAAAATTACAAATGGTATTAACAGATGATATTTCTCCATAAGAAACAGTGTTTTCATCTCAAGATAATAGTGGCAAAGCACTGAAGAAATAATCTCACCTCCTCATTTCTTAGTTGACTCCCAAACATGTACGTGTAGTTGCCTGGGTAACCCACAAACTTGCCTTTAAAGAAGGCGACGTAGAAGCAGGAGGAGTAGTAGTTCACAAACTGAAACATGAACATTTTCATGGTCAGCTTGTTCTCATACTCCAAATGGGTTTTAGGAATCTCTGTTGGACAAATCAAACAGACATATTATAATATTAACAGATGTCTGACACTAATAACCTAAAATAATAATGAAAACGTGCAGAAGTTGTCTGTATATTAAGACAATTGATAATGAAACATAACATTCATCACAGGAGCCATGGTACACAATGTAAAACATGAAAATACCGTCGCTGACCATACCCATGTCTGTGATCCAGATAGCCACATGCTCATAAAGGAAGTTGAGAATGAGGATGATGACAAAGTTGATACAGGATGCAGTGACAGACGTGGCCAGCTGTGGGTTGATCAGGGACCCCACCAACTGGATCTTGCTGGTGGGGCTGTCCTTCATGAGGCGGGCGAAGGCTGCATACACTGCTAACCTGTACGCTATTACTCCCATGACACAGGCCACGATCAGACATATCTTAGGAACAAAGAAGCAAGTGAAGCAAGACAGCAGTTAGAACAATGGCTTTTTATGACGTCTGTGGGGTTTGGTGTTGGCAGCTGGGGTACACATGTAGATCATTTACTCTTTACTGAGGAAGAAGACATTATAGATTCTCATTCTTTTTGTTTTTCCAGGGTGTCAGTAACTTACCCAAAATAGCACTATAGCTCCAGACACAGAGAAGCGTGCACACTTGCTGGTGAAGGGCAAATATGGCTCCAGTTCCTGCCAATCAGAGTTTGTGTGTCATTAAGAAAACTATCACACAGGTACTGGCTATTCTCTATGCACTCAATACTAAAAACAGTTAAAGTGGAGTTCTACCGATTTTTCAAAAAGTGTGCATAAATAAATTGTTAACATAATGTAATAAACAAATCATTCACAGTGGTTTGATGCAAAATACTCCATTCTAGAGAAATCAAAACTGTTCGCAATGGTACTCATAGGAACCAGATGTTTGAAATGCTTAACACCTCTAAACGCAACCTGGCAGAAAGGTTTTAAACCAAATAGTTATGAATATATTGCCTGATGCCTGAATGGATATATGGATTTATTTTAATCCGTTCATGGTGGAAACTACATGCAGGGTGTTGTGATACAAAATAATACCCAAAAAAACCTTTTTAATTTACCACTATTTACCACTATTTTAACATCATCGTTACATATGCACTTTGAGAATACATGTCTGGGTTCACTGGTCACTTTGGAAAGTAAATAAAAAGGCTACATTTGCTTTGTAGACATCGAAAATGACTTTGTTTACATATCAATTTTGAAAAATTAAGTTATTCATTTCAATTTGCTATTATTATTATTATTATTTACATAATTATATGATTACACATTTTCTTCATGCAAACTATCTCCTCTTCTGCATTGGAACATAAAAGCAGTATTGATAAAAAGTTTTGAATCAGTGTTTTGTCTATTGTTGCAGGGAGCTATGACCAAGAAATAATGAATAGTGAAACCTTTTATTATCACTAAGGGTTCTAAGGGTTGGTAAAGTTTTAAAAAGCAAAACCCAAGCTACAGACACAAAATATTCTTATAATTAGCAACTACAAATAAGTGCTTTTGTAACTGAAAACACTACACTGCCACACCTGTGTGATGCGGTTGCGACGCTTGCTTGTGCACTTCAACTCGAACTCAGGTCTGATCTGAAGCTGCTGCTGCTCCTCTTCAAAATCCACCAGATCCCACTCATACTCCAGCCTGGCCTGCCTTCGCTTCCAGAATTCCAGAAACAGAGTCACTGCAAGACGGAAAGAGAATACAAAAGAAAAGACAAACAACAGCAAGAAAGAGAGAGGTAGATCAAGTGAGGGTGCGATTAGTGAAATTACAACCCATGACATAACTCAGTTGCTCTATGAAATACAAGTACAGAGCATCTCAAATATCCAAAACTAACAATAATAAACCAAATTTATTTTAATTGCTGTTGAACTTCCCAGCATTTCACCTGCAAAATAACTGCTTGTTTTTATTACTGGGAGAATGGGTACTCTGAACCCTCTAATTAAGAGTCTCATCACGCACTGCTTTAAAAATTACAATGACCTGCTACGCATGCTGTGCTTTAAAATGAAGCAATTACTCAAATTCATTTTGTTGTCCTATGAGAACAAAATAATCTGACAAACATTTATCAAATTATGTCTGCTTGATCCAACTCATTTAGAACCTGTTCTCCCGAGACCACAGGTTATTAAACAAGTCTGATATTTACAGTCTGTTGTAATGCTTTTTCACCATTAGGTGGAAGTGTTGAGCTAATTTTTGGTGTCATGAAGACAAACTCACCCCAGATTCCCATAAAAATGGCAAAAAACACAGTTCCTTCATTGTCAAACAGATGGGCTTGCTGGAGAAGTAAAAGAGAGAACATGTAAACACAAGGAAATGATACAGCGCCATGAAAGAGATAAGCTGATCAGGCCATGGAGAATAAAATCACGGTTCAAAAAGGCAAGACTGACTGTCATTGTCAATTAAAACAAGTCTGGTCCTTGTGACTGGGACTAATGACGTGTGCTAGGTTTGTGCCTGCAGCAGTGACTGATGTCTTATTTGACCTGCCGCAGAAGCATTTTCTGCTAGTTCCACTGACTGATAGAGAAGGACAATAATATGCAGATAGGTAAATACGGCATTGCAGCTACAAGGGGGCACACGTATGTTCCCAGAGACCTATGCTCAGCTCTTTTTATGATGCATTATATCTCAATAAGATACATTAAGGGAATCTATGCAAGGGTTCGTCATGGGTTCATCAAAAGTCATACACAGAACAACAAGGAGATTTTTTCAATTGGAATGCACTTGTCCTTCACAGCTAGCCAAGCCTCAATGAGCTAATTAGCTAATAAAGCAAACTTTGTAATTTATATCATATTTGAGAATGTCTGGCTTAAGTGTGATGCAATGCTCTTTTATTGTTGTTGCTAACTGCGTAACTTTTAGCAGAAGTTTAGCAGAATAAAGTAAGAGTTTGAATGGTATCAGGGACACCTCAAAGGAGAAATGGTTAGGGCAAGTTCACAAGGGCATGCAAGGCAAGTACTGAAATAGAGGGTAGATGTACAAAGAAAGGATGTGCTCAAAGATTTCACTGCTACCATAAGTGCCATCTTTGGTAATGTTTTGCAATGTTGCAATGAAGTACAACTAAAATAATAACTAAAAACATTTAAACAGTGCATATCACTGAATAGACTCTCTTTCTTGTTCATTGAAATGAGTTTAAACAAGGGGATTTATTTGAAAAAAGCACGTACATGAACACGGTTTCAGATTTTATTTAAGGAAATTACTCTTATTTTCATGTTTAGGAAATATTATTGAGGCAACATGGAAACATAAAGCTATTTCCCATGATAATTTCAATGAGGCAACATATGGGACCCTGGGAATATAGGGCTGCTTCAAAAATTACAAAGCCAGAACACAGGGCCTAAGGAACACAGGGCAGTTTCCTAAAAATGTCACTGTGAAAATAGAGAGCCTGGGAAATATAAGGCCATGGGAACAAAGTAATGCCCCTCCCCCACCCCCAAACAATCTAACACACTACCCCGAGCTAAAATGCTAACCCTAAACCTATACCTCAACTTATGTGGTAGCCACAAAATAATATTTAGCGCCAATCTAATACGCTAGCCCACAAGCTAATACGATAACCCCAATCTAACTTGCTGGCCATGAGCCATTACATTAACCATGAACTTTACTTCAGTTTGCTTTAAATTAACTTGAATTTGCTTTAAATTAACTTAGCTTTGCACAAATTTGAATAATGGCCTGGAAGTAATGCATAATTCTGGAAATATGTCTTCATTTTACTTGTTATAACTTTATTTTTTTACGAATTCTAAATATGTTTGTTTATTACTAGGTTTAAATAAAAGAATGTTTAATGTTTTCTCAGACTTTTGGACCTCAATGTATATAATATATAGGCCAGTTTCCAAAGCATGGACCATTGACTAGGCCTTGACTGGACCATTGACTAGGCATTGACAGGACTGTAAATGAGCTGACTCACCCAGGATGAAAGACATGTTGAGTTGAGCTTCCAGTATGTGCACTTCTTATCACACAGAGGACACATCACGATTTTCCCACCAATATTTGGGTTACAGATCTCCTTGCTGAACAACACGTGGGGGTTGACAGAGAAGAAAGGCAGATATCACATCACATTTGGAAAACTCTTATTTTTAAAACTGAAACAGCATCTAATTTGACCATGCAAAACAATACTGATCTTTTTTGTAGACCATTCTAAACATCGGACACAGGGCAATCAATGTGATCCAATGTGAATGAAGGTGAATGAAGGTGACAACTTTTTTAATCCCATGAGACATATAAAAAACAAACAGGACAGTGCAAACCTAGTGATGTTATCATCATAGCTGAGCAGGCCATAGACGAAGCAGATGACGCCCATCACAGCAGCAAAGAACAGCATCTCTGTGTAGAAGCCCAGCCAAGCAAAGTAGATGCCAATCTTCTCACCATAGTACTTCCTGTTTAAGGCATAACAGGAAATCACTTTCTCAACACTGTAGATGTACTGCAGCGGTAGTGACAGCTTACCAGCATGATTTGTTCATATCATGTTTTGTGCATGTTATGTACAAAGTGTAGACAAAATAATAGGAACAAAATATTATAATAGATTTAATTATGAAGTTTTGTACTTCTAACATTAGGTTATATCAGTCAACTGCCTGGGATACAAGCAGTTTCCCAAATGGCAGCCCTGCTGTAATTTCTCATAGTTTTTGCTGAGAACGAGTGACACGGGTGCTGATTCAATTCTGCGGTCATTTTTAAGGGTGTAGTTTTGTGGCATTCAGCAACTTTTCCTGCTAACTGTCTGTCTAAATCAGTCAGTGACATTCAACTCATTTGCCTGCATTTGTCTTTCTGGAACTCAGCTTATTTGTTTCACATTACTTTGAATTCAAAATGCTAAGTGTTAGCCCTCTTTTAGTAGGGAGGGAAAAATAATCAGATTTTTAATTAATCCATGATTCTCCCTGAATCAATTCACAAAATGTCATAAGCCCAGAGACATTAGATACTTTGGCACAGCCCAGGTTGCAGCTGGAAAGTAAATGCAGGATCTTTCTGATGTACACAATGTCATATGCAAAAGTTTTAACTCCCCTGGTCAAAATACAATTTATTGATTTTCTTTTTTTCTTTTTTTTTTATTTTCTAAGTGAAAATAAGTCAACACATCTCTACAGAGAACAAATTTCAGAATTTCTTTGCTGGGTTTATAAGGAAAAACTCAAATATAAAATATAAAATTCCATTACTTTTGTACAGATCATATTTAATGTTTTAATTTTTCTTGCAGTATGTAAAATTTAGCAAATACACAGTAACTGTGCAGTAAAATGTGCAGATTTGTTAATTTATATTTGTTTAGAAAGTCAAGAAAATGTGTAGTTTAACCAGGAGCACCCAAAAATTTGCATACAATGGCACGTTTGTAGTCAGGAATTGGTCAAACATTTTGTGTATATGAAATAAAAGACACAAAACTATAGTAAACATATCGTACGTAGGAATGCAATGCTTTGTTAACAAACCAGCTTGAAAGACGCTAACCAGCAAACAGGCTTATCCAGTAATATTCAAAGGTTGTCTTTAAGCTGTAATGTTTACTGAACTATTAAGTATGAAGTTATAGTTATAGCATTCAAGAAAAATAATAATGATAAAAAAGTGGTCTCCCAAAGTGTGGCACACCATATAAGGAAAATTCTCAGCATTTTCAGCACAGTTTAGATTCTTCATGGTTCAGCCAAGTTGTAAAAATATGAAAATGTAATACTTCCAACAGCCACCTATAGCTGAATTCCAGAGTGACTCCAGTATGAAGAAAAAACACCCCTTTTTTAAATGCGTAAAGCACGTGTACATATCTTTGGAAGTCACTCATTTACTCAAGTACAAAACATGTAGCAGTCTCCAGCAGAGAGTTACTGTTAGTGCACAGGACCCTTTTGTGTCCATCATTTAAAGTGAAGAAACAGCCACAAATGCATGTGTCTGCAATAACAACTTTCAAAATAATATGTGAAATAATTTTCAGAAAGTGTTGAGTTATTCAGTGTTATATTAATTAACATATGATTTTCATTCAAGCTTTTCAGTTCTTTTTATAATCGCATCTTGGAGCCCTGAACTGAAGTCGAATCAAGGTGCCTAGTGATTTCCATCCTGTACTACATTACATTAACTTTGTAACTTGTGTAGCTGACTTTATTGATTTAGTAACTTCAAAGTTTAAGTCCTTTTACATCTGGTGTTTGTTATTTTGGTTACTATCTGTCCTATCATATTCTCTTATGAGTTTAACTAGTCTCAAAAAGACACAGCTGAATTATTTGACTCACAAGATTTGACCAGAAGGAGAAATTTCATCCAAAGCTATTTCACATTAAAGCTTGAAATATTTGTGCAATCTTACATGCATATACTGTAAGTAAACTGTAAACTGTATTAGATGAGAGTTATAAAAGGCTGAGACAGTCCAAAGATTTTCCCACCTGATAAGGTTGAGTGGTTGCTCCTTGTAGAAGCAGAGAAAGCGAGCCCAGTGCTCATAGAGGTGATATCTCTCACTCTCACACTGAGTCTCCTTCGCTTTCTTCCAATAGCGACACTGCAGAACAAACCAGAATGATGAATATGCAGTGAAACATCTGAAAAAAAGACAATGGAAAGAAAATGAAAAGCACTCGAAAAAAGTGCATTTATAAAGGCATTTCTTACGTCATGGAGAGGGTAGGCAGAAGTGTAGGTGCCATTGCTCAGCAGTCTCTTAATTCCTGTCTTGTCTTTCTCTTTACGATCCTCCTTATAGTACGAACAGCGTGTGAGGATGTAATATACCTGAAAGGGAGATGCAAACCAAAAATTACACCGATAGATCTCCAGAAGGAGAACTTTCATCCAAAGCTATTTCACATTAAAGCCTGAAATATTGGCGCAAACCCGACTTAACCCAGAAGTAGTAATGATGTCAGGCTCAGACTTTTTGACTGAGTTTCTCATAACCAGTCTTCCTTAAGGAGTTATGACCAGTATTTATACTCAAACTTCACTTTTTCTCTTCACTTTAAACTACTTTTGTTACATTTTACTTTTTTGGTACCTAACTACTTTACTGATGAATAAATGTGTTAAAGTTCCCCTAAAGTCATAAAGTCACAGGCCTTCTTGCTAAGATAACGCTAGCTTCTAGTGCTAACATCTAGTGACGAGGCCGCCGAACCGTAGAGTTTGACACCGGTGGCATTGTTGTGGGACGTGAGGGCGAGGGCTGAGGCAATGGAAGCTCATGCTGCCCTTAATAAGAGCCAGTTGATGTTAATTTGAAATTGACAGTGCAGGCTCATGTTTGGGGCTCAGACGCTGGGCTTATGCTGCCTCTCACAGCTCTTGTTGGGATCTGTTACATCTTCCCATTACCATATTTTAATGTATTCATTATACGAATTACATTCAACATTCATTGTATCAAATCATTATATGCCATCCAAGAGCAGTTTACCATTAAAAAGGAAAAAAAAAAAAAACATTGTGTGCAGGGGGTCATTAAAATATAATTTAAATTACATGATTCGTTTTCAAATTTGGTATATCCATAATAACTATTGTTGCTACTTAAATTAGCACTCTCGCTAACATGGCATGGTCACTAGAAGGCACAAGTTATCCGGGCTCTTGGTAGTGGTTTGTTTTGGGTGGGGCCAGACAAAATTTTGCTGGGCTGAGGACCGATTAATACTCAAAACTCATGCTGCCCTTAATGAGAGCCAGTTGATGTTGATTTGAAATCGACAGTGCAGGCTCAAAACTCAGCACTGTGGTTTAAGCTCCAGTTTACATCAGGCTAGAAAAACATATACCAATTTCTGTATATCGAATTTGCCAATAATTGTGTCCATGTGATGATATTCAGTACACTGGAACTTACAATCCTGTTACGGGTTGAGGGTGGAAAGAAGGTTTCCTTGTCTTTAATGAGGAAGAAGTCAGCCTTGCTCTTGTCGAAAGGCGCAGTGAAGTAATCAGGGTCAGGCTTCATGATTTCTGAAGGCAGCCGGAAAGGCCGCGTGAGCCACTGTAGCGGGGCATCCCGACCTTTGGGAATGTCACTGGGCTTGAATGGCACCTTGATCTTCAGTACATCTGCGTAGGTGGCCAGCACCTCCCAGGGAGCATGGATCTTCAGATAGTATGTTTTCCGGTCATCCGACTCCTTCAGGAAAGAGATGCAGTGAACAAGGATGAGAAATGAAGTGCCTTAATGATGTGTCTGATGACCACATATGTCTGCATGATATGGACAAAATTCCATATTGCTACTAAATTGCTGGGTATTGTGAACTACCTTATTTAAGCAATAGAACACAAGAGGGAGCGCGTTATCACAAATAACATCATGGTTGTGATCATCTACAGTGAACCAAATCACAGCCATGATGTTATTCGTGATAACATGTGACCTCGGATGCTCTATTGCTTTTATACACTAGTTCTGCAAAACAGATAAACAACTGAAGCAAAGAAGCCCTGAATATTATATCAAATGGGCTTTTAAATTCTTTTTAAATTCTTCCACCCAAAAAAAGTATCATTAGCATCCTTTGGCGTTATAGACAGCGCAGTAAAGTGGGCTTTGTATTGGATATTCAACTTTATCTCTCTTTATTTCTGAAATAACATTCAAAAATGATCAGTGATCAAATGTTGCGCTCACTGATATCATAAACGTACATGAGACACCATTATAGTCCTATAATTAGTCCTATAACTTGAGCTTAAAAGCACTCAAAACATAGCAGTGTTGAAATATGTGTTCAAAAATGCATTGTTAAATATAAAAAAAAACAAAACATTTAAGCATTTACAAAGTGTGACGCTGCAAAAAAGTTCCTTAGAAACCCATTAATTTTGGACTCACTCAGAAGTGCCCTCTATCATTTGACAAAACTGAAAGACATTACTGAGAGGCAATTCTCCTCACTCTTTACTGTTATAACAAATAACAGCGTAGGTAGAATGCTTCTTGATCAAACAGATTGTGCGGTCGGGACTAACTGTTATACAATGTTCAGTAACATTTAAAAAGCGATATGTTGCAACACTGGTTTATATATTTGAATAGAGATGGCCAATATGGTAAAAATGTAACAGCAAGGATACCCAATGTATATCATGAAATTTACTTTTTCTAATATTTGATTAGACAGAAAAGCCCCAGCAGTGCCATCTACACTCTCTTTGTACTGAAACATGTAAATGTTCAATGTTTAAAAAAGCCTAGTGGTGTAATTTATCACAATAATGATAAAATATTATTTTGTCCACCACTACAATTGAATATATAAACATACAGCAATAATTTGTGAACTACAGCAGTCTAACCTTCTATGCATCAATGTGTAGAAAGTATCAGTGCTAGTATTTTGGGCATCTGAAGTCAAACATAAACACAAGTGAAGTGTAATGGCATGGCAGATTGTCTGCTTGCTCACTGACCCTTAGGGGCATCTTAGTTCATATTCTCACCGATTTATCCTCAGTCTCCAGCATCAGACCAGCTTTCTCAAGGTTGGCCTCGAATGCTCTTCTTCGCTCCTGCACAAATATGCACAAATACATACAGGAACATGAATCTTACACTGACTTCAATCACATAGTCCTTAATGTTAATCCAAACCCTAATCACTCTGGGGGAAATGTAATGCCTCTTTTAGTAAAGAACAAAAATACCAGATGAGCATGAAGTCACTCAAGTAACACATATTCCAGGTCTTGAAGCCTGTGAAAAGGCTCACATGACGAAATACGACTACACACAGCGCAAATTGTATAGAGGCCCTAGGAAATAAAGATCAGTAGTCTATTCCTGGAGCAGGCTAATGTAATAACACCACACAGCACACCCTTGACAAAGGCCGTTTCAAATTAAGAGTAACCAGACAAGCTGGTTTGCAGCAGCCACATACAGTGCGCAGCATCTCACAAGCAGGTTAGCCAAGGATTTCCAGTGCTGGATGTTGCCTGAACATGCCAGGCCACTAAACTGGAGGCACCTCTATATATTATGCAAGGGAGAAACAATATTTCAAAACAAGTCAGTCTTCATATCTCAAAACAAATATAGTGAGGTGACGAGATGGGATTTACGGTCATGAAATTAATCCTCTTTTTTTTTCCACACCACTAATCAGAGGTGAGCTTTCTAAAACCATAACAAAACAAAAGGTCACAGCAATTGATTACTGAGGTCCAGCTGTACGTATGTGAAAAGACTGAATGTGTTTTGGGATTGAATGGGATTACGTAAACCATTAGAGACAGGAAAATACAACCAACTTCTAAGACTGAACTTTGAAGGTGTGGAAAAATATCCCTGAAGATTTCTTTGAAAAACTGAAAGTAAGTATGCCAAAAAAAATGGAAGCTGTGATGAATATAACAAGGGTTTTTTTTTTTTTGCTTTTTCCTGATGCAGAAAGACGAACGACTTGTACTTAATGGCCGTTTTGACTGAAAATAAAATAAATGAAGGGTAGTCTCTGACTTTTGTACAGTACAGTACATGGTACATGAGCTGCGTGTTTAGACTTGTAGGTCAGTTGCTTACATAATACACAGAATCCTGTCATATCTGTGCCTGAAATCTAGTGCAAAAGAATTCTGACCCTGAGACTCACTGTCTTTGACAGATAATCTCAACATTACAAAGCTTTCAAGAAATTGTTCCCACATTCCCTGTGAAACTGGACTGTATCCACGGAAACTAGAGACTGTTTGACTTGGAGGTCAATCCAAGTAATCTCTGTTCTCCTGTTAGGGTGGTGTAGTCTCCACTGTGACATGGCAAGTCACATGAAGGCTGCTGACAGTTTCTCAACCCTGAGCACCACAAACCTCATCTTACATCATCAATTTAACCCACAGACAGAGCTAAGATCATCTGAGCATACAAGCTGCTAACATAGCAATGTGCATGCATGATGAAACAACAATCATTCTGCATTCACGTTATTCCAAACACGTGTTGCTGTTGATAACATTTTAAAAAGATGCTGTTCTTATTTGCAAATATGACATTTCCTACCCAAAATGTCATATTTCATCAAAGACATATTTATGTGCTGACACTATGAAATGAATCGCTCAGTTACAATGTGAATAGGTCAGGGTATTTTTTTAAGCAGGATTATGTATTTGTGGTTGTGTTTGCTGCATAAGGGACATACCGCTTTCTTGTCTCCATCCTTGTCATCGACGTAGGACAGGACAAAATCAATGCGACGCACGCCATCCTGGAAGTACACAGAATCCTTGCTCTGCTCCAGCTTATCAGTCTAAAGAGACACAGTAAGAGGAAAACCAGGTCAAAGGCAAACACATATGTTATACAAAAAAGAGATTCACCTGTTCGACACAAAGAAGAACATCATCTGGACTTCTCAACCATGTGAGAGAATCTCTACCTCAATATCTCTACAGCAAAATCATCAAGGTAACAGAAGCAGTGGCTTTACTTAACATAGACAAGTTCACAAGATTACAATAAGGGCATTTACACACTTGGCCCATTTCAGCAAGTGCTCTCAGACTGCTGAGTCATGTGTGAACATATCAAACAAATTCAGACCTCTCTAAACGCCCCCAAAAGTGAACTGAACTCAGATCACCTCTCAACATAGCCTCAGTATGTTAGCACACGTGTTTGTGGTTCACTTTGTGGTCCAACTGATTTGTATATTGTGAAAAGAAGCCATATTGCTTTATGTCTAAAGAACCTCAAGGCTTACCGTACAAACACAGCCACAGTCCTCCAGCGAGTAGCAGATACACACAAACTACTCGGGAGAATGACTGCCCGTGGGTTTGTGTGATCTCACAAAGAGCCTGCTGCGCTGGCATATTAATGCAATAAGTCACTAGAGGCCGTGAGGCTTTATCGTGGTTAAAGGATGATGCTAGGCACGCACACAATGAAACCCCCTGCCTGAACTGAAATCACACAGCTTCAAGTGGCTTATAGCTTATTAAAAAAATAGTATAATATACACTATAATAAACATGATGTTCAATAAAAAAATGCTCAGATCAAACATTATTTCATAAACAATGGTAATCATTTAAAAGGTCCACATTAGGGAATCAGATAAAAATTTGATGTAGTATGTAATCACTGTTAAAGTTTCAAAACATACAATTCACCTCCCAGTCCATACAGACCATTTATGGAAACCAGGCTGTAAAACACGGCCTGTTTCTGAGATGTCATGAGAACCAGCTCATTTGCATTTATCTGCCTATTCAGTCTACAGTAGTTTAGCTGCACCCATTCACATCGAAGTTCTAAGTGTGCACTATATAGGGCAGCCAATTGGAACAGAGACAATTTATCATATATCAGTCTTAAAGGCACAGTAACAAAAAGAGCATGTTTAATGAATTAAAATGAGTCTGTTAAAATGAATGACTAGTTTTGGCACACGAAGAAGAAAAATATATGATATGGGAGCTTTAATGTACCCAGTACCCAGGTGGGAAATTGGGGTATGAAGAACAAGTGGTTTGAGATGCTAGTGCTAAAGAGAACCAGAAAGAGAACAGAGCTGGTTCCCTTTCAGGTTCACTTCAACAGGACTGAGTTCGGTTTATTTAAATAAGAACTCTCAGAAAACACCCTAAAATCAGGATATACAATATCACTTCCACATTAATAACCGTACATAATAGGTCTTCAGCTGTTCAACCATCAGCAGCTTGATATATGTTTTTTTGAGTGCTGGTATTTGAAATGGGGGAAAAAAAAACTTTTTGTAATATTATGTTTGACAAAAAATAGTATAGATTCAAAGCTGCCCAAAAACTGACATTTTTAATTATTCATATTTTTAATGTGTATTAAGCCCATAAACAAACATTACTCATTACTGCTTTCTAAATGTGTTGTAGCACCAGTCAGACGTTACAACTTCTCTTGTTTTAGAAGGATCCATGATGTATCTCAATGAATGCATGTTCTGCTTTCTTTTACATGAACTGACCTTTACCCAACAGATAAAAATGCACCCAATTCATTTTCTGTTTGTTTCCATGTAACGATTGTGAAAGCTAACAACTACTGCAATAGCCACTTTCCACTCATCTGCACACATCATTCTTCTAGTGGAACTAGAAGCAAACAGTTAAATGATTCACTGCTCTGGCTGTTGAGCTGACATATTTCCTGTTGTTTGTTTCCTGTCACCACAATTTGATTTTGTTATATAATACAGTTTTTGTTTCAATTTTATATGATGCTAAGAAACCAGTACACACAGATCAGGTGAAACTCCATGGTGCCATTCTAATAATCTTAATTTTACAAAGTTGAATGTTCTAAAGAAATAAAAATAGAAACATTGAGATATTAATATAAAGCACTCTTGGGAACTATTTGTTTTTGATCTATTGGAAAAAGTATTGAATAGAAACCCCACCATATCATATTGAACTAAATAATGAATTTTTGAATCGACATGCTCCTACTAAGACATCTTTCAGTGGTGAAAGGCTGTGCGTGTGTGTGTGTGTGTGTGTGTGTGTGTGTTATCAGCTCCACTTACCATAGAGGTGCATTATGTAGTTCTACAATTACAGGCCCATCTGATGCTCTGCAAACTTTATTAGTCCCCTTTTACACAGAGCAGGTCTTACTTGTGAGCTGGATCATTCTCAGCACTGCAGTGATACTGATGTGGTGGTGGCGTGTTAGTCTGTGTTTTGCTGGGACGAGTGGATCAGACACAGCAATGCTGTTGGAGCTTTTTAAACAATGTCCACTCACTGTCCACTCTGTTAAGACATCTACCTTGTGGTCCACCCTGTACATGTAAAGTCAGATACAATAGCTCATCTGTTGCTGCACAGTTTGTGTTAGTCATCCTTTAGTCCTTCATCAGCTGTCTCAGGACGCTGCCCACAGGATGATTTTAGCTGGATATTTTTGGTTGATGGACTATTCTCGGTATAGAAGTGACTCTGAGATGCTTCAAAACTCCAGCAGTACTGCTATGTCTGATCCACTCATACCAGCACAACACACTAACACCACCATGTCAGTGTCACTTCAGTGCTGAGAATGATCCACCACCTAAATAATATATGCTTTGTGATGGTCCTGTGGGGGTCCTGACCATTGAAGAACAGGGTGAAAGGGGGCTATGCAGAGAAACAGTTGGACTACAGTCTGTGATTGCAGAACTACAAAGTGCACCCTAATGGTAAGGGGACCTAAAAATAAAGTTTTTATTAAAACCTGGTTTTAATAAAGTGGCTGATACTACATATATATTATATATATAGATATATATATATATATATATATATATATACACACACCACACCACACACACACACACACACACAACATATATATATATATATATATATATATATATATTATATATATATCATATATAACGATACTACAATAAGAGTAATCCCCAACCCTGTCACTTTTTTTTGGGTTTTTTGTTTAGCTTATTACCCAGCAACACACTTGTATTAGCATCAATTTTATCAGATACAGACACAGAAAAAACTGTTTGAACAGACACAGAATTTTTTTTATTCTGGTGTGCCCCTTCCAAACAAGGAAAAGAGGAGTAAAATATCTCATATCATCACCACGGCAACCATGCTCAGAGCAGCTTTAGTGGAGCTTTAGAGTCAAGAGCTGAAGACACACTGAACTATGAACACAAACAGATCAGTTACCCCTGCAAGGAAAAGCAAATATATGCAAACGGACAGTGAACGCACACGCAAACACAAATGAAAGCTAAACAAACTGTGCACACACAGTCACTGTGTCTCAAACATTAGCTAACCTTTAACCTCTGCGCTGAAAACAGTGAATGGCTATAGCATCATAATACTGAGAAATACTGTCTGTATCAACTAAGGATGATTTTTTTGAATATTTGAACAGTGATCAAAGCATTAAAAATTAAATTAGGATTAGATTTTTGATATGCAAATTAGCTCTTCTCTACTGTTATACATTCTCATATGGAAGAGCCATGAGATGTCTGAACTCTGTATTCCACCAGAGGGCAGAGTAGAGCCTACATCTTAGGTTTCAGTCAAAGTTTCTTATCTGTTCAGTACAAAGAAGGAAGCATACTACTGCAGCTTGCTAAAGGCCACTGCCAGAGATGTTAGTAAGGAGGAGACAGGTCACTGGGAACGATAAGCTTTAACTTAATCCCCTGATGTGTTTTTATCAGTTGGGTTGAGGAAAATACATGATTTCACATACATATTGTGACATGATGGATCTTACAAAAAACTAAACCTGGTGCTCTAACATGTTTACAGGGCAGTGGTGAGTAATGCTTGTTTATTTGAGCTTGAGCCTATAGCTCATCTGACCAACTGGACCCTTTGGCTTGTACTTTCATAGGTGCATGAAATGAGCTAAAAACCACTAAATTATTACAATTATTTTTATGGCAAAAACTGTCAGCTACAAAAATATGATTGTGATAGGCCTAGAGCAGATCATAAACCCAGCTGTGTGAGATAAACCACTGAAACACCACAGTGTCCTTAACTTCACACTGTGTGTAAATTTCCCACACAACACCACAAAACCAGATTTAACTTTAGGCCGTGTTTCTGTTTTGTGGTTATGTAACTGTACAACTAGGACATTTCTAAACATCAAAATGTGAGGGAAAAAAAATCCACGAAACACTGCCCTCCGTGTTACACAGCAAGTGCGTAAGTAACAGCAAACAGAGGAAACAGGACAGTTGTGATGCATGTCTGAGGAGAGTGTTCATTATAATATGAATTATGGGTTATTCATAATAAACACAAAACAGGAAGGACAGGTGGGCAGGCAAATCTGCAGCAGCTCGTGTTCAAACCATTTCTATTTGTGAAGAAGCCTTTATTGTGCCTGGATTATACAAAACACAAGCTATGTATTGTGGGTTATTTTCTTTAATTCACACATAAGATGGAGCCTTTGTTCTAGGCCAAAATTCCTCCACTCGCTCTCATATTTAGCTCACTAGTTAAAGAGTGAAGAAAAAAATGCTATTTTATACGAAGGCATCTACTTTGCCAGTGGAGCTAAACTGCGATAGGCTGAATAGGTGCATAGCACAAAAACACCAAATTAAAAAAGGCTGTTTTTGGCAGCTTAGTTTCCATGTATGGACTGCATCGACTGGGGAGTGAATGGTAAGTTTGAAACTTTAACAATGTTTACTTACACATTACACATACACATAGTTTACATACACACAAGGGTCGGAGGACCCTGGGTGTTAACTTTATATGCTGATGACCA